TACTCACGTTCACTTATACCCATTAAACTTTCTAAGGGGACTTGACGGCGTGAGTTTTTCATCCGAGTTTTGTATTATATTCTTTATTTGGGGAAAGAAAAGAGTGAAAATAGCATCCTGAATATTTTTTTTTATAATATTAAAAATATATTTTATTGCAACTGACCACTAGAAAGGTTGCATCAAGTTAGCTCCCGGGAGTTAGATTTAGGCATGAATTAAGTAAACACTGGTTTGGAGTTGTGGATGAGTAGAATAAGTTACCAAACACCACCATTAATCGCTGGGGCTCTTCAAGTATAAGTTGGACACATGACCAATGGGTCTACGGCACTTTTCTCCATTATTAAGACTTTTTTGTGCAAAGCAATGGTTGGAAGTTCCCTTGATATACAATATATTTATTTTATGATAACCGAAAGAACAGGAGGAAAATTAATGTTACTGAATACATCAACGAGGTAAATTAATTTTTTGTAGTGTGGAGTTCCGCCCCTGAACCATCACCGCCTCACGATTTATTGGGTGATGAGACCTTAAACTCACCCCTCAGCAGAGCGTGAAGCGGTGGTGATAAGCGAGGTTCACGCTCTGACGACCCACGATACCCTGCGACTTAGAAATAATTCCACAACTCACGTTAAAAATCTTCCCATATTCACGATACCTCTAGCGTCACCGTACAAGCACATGACCCATAGATGGAATCATTAAACAGAGCAGTAAATTCCCTGGACATAAAAATGCGTCAGGCCAAAGTGTACAGTGTGCGTGAGTCGGCCATTGGGATTTAACTTTTAACTTGCTAAGAGGAAGGTTTGTATGGGTGACTGCGCTAATATTATCAGGGAAAGGCTGTATCAAGCTTGGCTTCACCTGGACTAACTTAACAGCCAAGGAAAGTAATTCAGAGATCACAGACTGATACATAATCTTTGTTGACTGTTTAAGAAATTTACGTCAACACTGAGGCACAATTGTCTAATGTCAACACGAGGGGAACAGCTGATTTCCGTCGGTACATCAGAACACCTGCCGGTAATAACAGCACTCGGGGAAATTAGTGCCATTACGGTTAACAGTGTTTAAATTATTGCTGTCTCACTTCAATACTTATGCAAATTTACGCTTTCCACAACACTAGGCCCAAAACTAGCAGTCAACAGAGGAGACTTGTAAATTACTAATATAGAGAACGAATGATTGGGAATTTTACGACGTAGCAAGAGGAAAAATAACAAGAACAGTATTAATAATTCCATGCTAAGATTAAAGAAAAAATCAGAAATATAATTACGACACAAGTAAGAAAGTTAGATGATTAATTTTTAATCAAAGTTAACGCGTTAATAAATGGAATGTAATTGACAGTCGAGGAAAGAGAACAGCAGTTTCCTACCTGTCGATGAGGAAAAGTTGGATGGCATGAAGATTAAACTAGCCACCCAACTTATGTTATGCTATGTTAGCATCAGGGCGATTAATCTTAAGGTGAAATAAGGTGGGTGGGCTAATCTTCAGGTGATCCGCAAAATCATGAGATGAGAACAGTCGCCCCAGGTGTAAATGAGGACCAGCGTGTCATGTACTGTATATCTTTAATAAGGAGAGGTCCGATGAATTTCAAAATGAACACCGCGACTCCTGTTATCTCGGTAGGGTTGTCAAAATCCTTCATTCGTTGTTATATAATTTAACACAAATTGTCAAGATAATTTTTGTACCGAGTTACCTGATTAAAACTTTAATTGGATCTGCAATGACTACCCTATAAAATTAAAATAAAAAATTCTTGGTAGCCAGTTACTGTCTCAAGATCAAATTAGTTTTATCTTTAGTAAATGAAAATCAATCCGGCGTGAGATTCTCCGCCACCCACGAGTTACCTTATATAACAGGCGGCTGGGGTACTGTCATCAAAATGAGGACTAGTTGGGAAGTTTGACTTCCATTTACGTTTAATAATTCAAATTAATTACGGACTGTATTAAGTTGTGCTAAAGGTACATTTATACTTTATTAACACTGTATACAGGTAATGTTAGGTAGAGAAAAATCGATAAGAAACTATAGAATCACAGCTTAATATTATTATTACTGGCAGCTGGTGAACACAGAAACATTACTATTACAGTTGTTACAGGTTTCAAGAATATGCACACACAAGCACATGAGCATGTACGCACCCATACCCTCACACACATAATAAATAATATATATATATATATATATATATATATATATATATATATATATATATATATATATATATATATATATCGGCAGCGTTTGCCTTCAAACATGTACAGTATACAGTAACAAGCTCCTCGGAGGGAAAATGAGGAAGTTGAGAAGGTGGGAGGGCAAGATCCGAGGAGGAACTCAGGATGTGGTGTCTTCTTGTGTGATCTTTATAGCAGCTATTACACACACACACACACACACACACACGAGTTAAGTGTTAATTATGGGTGAAGGCAGTTTACCTAGGAATTACTAAAATTACTTTTACACACACACATATATATATATATATATATATATATATATATATATATATATATATATATATATATATATATATATATATATATATATATATATATATAGCATTGGGAATCTCATAAGGAGACCGCGCTCGTTACATACACACAACACAGTCAACAAGAGAATGTAAAGCTATAACAGCAGGATCTTCATCATTATGCTCTCTAATTCACCACGAATCTAGACAAAATAAAAAAAGAAAGAGAACGTGAGAGAAAACTTTACTTCCGATACCTTAATCCACAAGCCATTGTTCTCACTATCTCTCACATGAATACAAACAATTTCACCACATTTCGTGCGTAACTTCAAAAGCTCACGACCCGGCATTCTCCCTTACGCCTTTCCCCTGGACCGTGTTTCAGTGTGGAGAGAACGGTCAGTACGTCTGCCGGAGAAAATATATACGGTGCTGGAGGAAACCTTCGTAACAGGGGCTGATCCATGGGGGTCCTGGGATTCCGGACTCCTTTTTCATAAGAAAATTCCAATAACTTTTCCTTAAATTAGTATTGTACTCAGGCATTGTTGTATAGTAAAAATAATTACTATTGACTGCAGAATATCTCCTATTAGCAATTGAACATGGCCTCAGAATACCCATCATATTGGTCAGATTTCAATAAAAAATATATCGGGGAGGAAGGAGGGCTTACAGCACCCCCCCCCCCCATTCCAAAAAACAATGGGTGGGCTTGCCGTGCTCGCCATGTTCCCCCACCCACAACTTCTTGAACCCCCCTTTTGATATTCCTGGATCCGACCCTAACAATACTGTATATACAATAATAATTTTGCTCTTTACCTATGAATTTACAATACAGAACAGAAAAAGTCTTACTTAAAACACAAATCTGATTTCCCTGTAAGGTTTGGTTTGGCCATCTGTCTCGTTTGTCCACAAAATTTGCAAATAATCTTTATTTACTTTCAAATAAACATTAGGTAATTTTCGTGCAAAAATTATGAGCACACTTTCCTGTTCACTTTATCCCCTATATTACTTCAATGGTTCTTTGTGTTCTCCAGTTCATATATGAAAAATAATCCTTTCCCATCATCTTAAAGTGCCTGATAGTTGTGATTGATCTTCTTAACTAAACCGCGCCTACAATTCTCGTTTTCGTGGCTGCTTGTCACTACCTATCTATTTATCATTTCCACCACTTACCAGCTTACAAGTCGGTCGGTCGGTCTTTTGTTTATTACGGCCTTCATTGTGAGCTTAATGCCAAACCATATATAGTACTCTTATTTCTGTTTGATCTTAAAAAATTCAATGTGCTTTTACTCGTGTAATATTGATAGAAATTATTTTTTTTTACAGAAAAAATATAAATAATTTTATCGTAGTTAGCCCAAACATTTTTAAAAGAAAACTGTAAAGTCAGGTGTTGCGGACGCATATTAGAATTACAGTTTTCTTTGTTCGTGGCGGGATGACTACAGCATTCTTTAAGACCAACTACTGTAGTCTTTTAATTTCTATTGGTTGATAAAAAGTATTGTTCAGTCTATGTGTAATTACTAAATTTGTGAAATTATCTATTGATAATTTTAAGCTTTTTGACTTCCCACGATCTCCATAAATATTTATTCTATAATATATTAATTTTCCGTTTGTTACTGTCAGTTTTCACTGATCACAACTCTTTGTCCCCGAGTACCCGAGTTCTATCTTTAACATTTTTCAAGTGTTGATGTAATAGAGTAATTATTAACCTTATTAAGCGTTTAAAAACCTTAGTTATAGTTATATTTTTGTTTAATATTTTTATATATTTTTTAATAATTTTTATTTTATTATTATTATTATTATTATATTTCATCCCCATGCCCTGATGTGGGTCCGATGGGCATGACTACCCAAAGGAGGCGGTATGGACACATCCCTCAATTTTTTTTTTTTTTTACTGAAACCCCAGACAAAATCTATACGATAATCTGGAGTACGTTTGTGTTGCACACGAGAATATAAATACCTAATTACGTGACATGGTATAGTTTATTACACTACTTCTAAAATTATGTACTTATATTATCAACAGTAATCCCCTTAAAGAAAGCTCTACACAGGAGTTCCATCTCTCATAATTTCATATTTTTTAATGCTGTTAGACTTGTGATTACTAACCTTATAACGCTTTTAAAGACTTTTTTTTTAAATGCAATAATAATATTATAACAGCAAGAATGCTCTCTCCTCGTAAAAAGAAAAAAATACTCACATAATTTCGATCAATGCGGATGATTGTATTCGTGGGCTTGTTGAAAATCACGTGTCACTCAATGTGGGCGACTTGAAAGTCTGCCGATAATTATCAAATAAAGGTTATTTTCTTTTGAAGTGGTGGGGGTTGCAGTCTGCAGCTGTGACAAGTCTCAAGATTATGTACGGTTCTCTTTGACATTTTATTAAGAAAAATGTCTCAACCATATCTTTTTATCTCCAGCTCCTGCGAGTGTTCCTGGTGGCGGCGCTGACGGTGTCATCGTCGATGGTGCAGGGAGATAAGCTTCCCGGCGGAGGGCACAGTAGCGGCGGCAGTGGCAACAGACTTGGACAAAGTTCACGGACACCATCACAAAGCTACGGACTTCCTCAGCAGGGTTCCTCATCTGGGTCCTACAACCAAGGGGGCGGTGGGTCAGGCTCGGTGGGGAGGTCATCCAGTTCATATAGTTCTAATTCTTTTGGGGAAGGAGAGAGTGTCAGCCCCCCCAGTCAATCATATAGTGCTCCTCAACCCTCAACCTCACCCAGCCAGGCCTACGGCGCCCCTTCACAGACTCAAACACCATCAATTAGTCAGACTTATGGACCACCTCAGACAGGCCAGACCCAGACCGTAAGTCAGACATATGGTACTCCCCAACAGACACAGACTCCTTCCCAGACATATGGCGCCCCTCAGTCCTCCAGCAGGAATCAGGTGAGTCAGCTTAGCAACAGACAACCCTAGTGGTACCCCACGCTGTCACACCATAACAGCTTCTACGCACACTAAATATGTTAACTTTTGGGCGTGGGTCAAGAGCACTGATTACTAAGAATGTGACAAAGAGAAAGGATAAATAGTAATTGCATACTAAGTAACAAAGAAACTCAAGTGAATAATTCTTTTGTATATGACGCTTGGCAAATCTTAAATGACAAATAGTATTGCCTGAATAAGGGCGCCATTGGGAAACTACTGTAGAAAAACAAAATATGTCTTAATGAACAACGATTCACTTACCTTACTTACAATTACAAACACCACGGTAAAAGAGAACACATTTTCCCCATTAGTTTCAATATCCACAAGCAACATTCATGTTAAAACAGTTGTTTCCCTTCGCCCTCTCAATAACTACTTGTTGACGAGATACTCTGTCCTGTTTTAACACCTGCCTGCTTTCTGGAATCCAGGTAAAAAAGTCTCAGGAAAAAAAGTCACAGAAGAAAAGTCACAATTTTGGCTAGGAAAAAAGTCACATTTCCTTTAAACGCCAGATACTAATTAAAGTAATTAACCTAACCTAACCTCATGAAACCTAACCTATCTATGGTGTTTAAAGGAAATGTGACTTTTTTTCTTTGCCAAAATTGTGACTTTTTTCTGTGACTTTATTACCGTTCACCGCTTTCCGCGTCCATTTCCAGCACAACAAACACTCTATGCATGGGCCTGCTCATGGTGCACTACAGCGTAACATAACTGGGAATATAATTATAATAACTATGTGGTTACCTTACAAGTGATTTAAGCTATTGATGCTTCAATCTAGTCTTGATCAACTTAATCATGCTGGTAAGTACGTTATTGTTGAATGTATTGAGCTGCAAGCCTAATCCTTGCTGACTCTTTTTTCATAATTTATACAGCTTTTTCTTATGGCACGCCAGCACCTTCACTACACAGCTTTGATCTGCTGAACTCTGGAATCTTTGGATTAAGTTGTGTGAATGACGCCTGTAACAAAGTATATCTGGCTGGATAAATTTTTGGTGGTTTATCCCGATGAGCTATTTTACATTAAAGCAAAAGTTCAGCTATTTTTGCCTTTTTCTAGCACGAAAAACTGTATCTTTAATGCAAGTTTCAAAAATTTGTAACTCCTAATTTTTAGTAAGACCCAGATATAGTATAAAAACCAAAGTTTATGTTTCCCAACAAAGTAATTTACCATTGCAATTGACATACACGTATGGTAACACTGGCACATAACGTTTCTTTTATTAAAGGGTCAAGTTTTCTCACAGGCATATGAGTTGTACTGCCTTTAAACATTAGGCTATCATTGCGTAGGCCAAACGAAGGCAAACACTTAACACAACAGTTGACAATCAATAAGTACACTTTAGAAGTTGATTTTGCAAAAGAAAATTCTAATGTTTTATCATTTGATGTTAGGTTAGTTATTTGAATTACTTTTCTTAATTTTAGAAAGTCAACTCCGCTCTACAGTTTATATTATATAACTCATAACGTGTTTTGTTTGTGAGACTAAACTTGCTGGATCGTTTCTCATTTAGGGTGTCCGACAACAGCCATCCCAGAGCTACGGAACACCACAACAGCAGCAACAGGCGCCCTCACAAAGCTATGGAACTCCACAACAACAGTTACAGGTTCCTTCACAAACTTATGGAGCACCGCAACAGGCGCCTTCACAAACATACGGAGCACCACAACAGCAGCAACAGGCGCCTTCACAAACATACGGAGCACCACAACAGCAACAGCAGGCGCCCTCACAAACATACGGAACACCACAAGAGCAGCAACAGGCGCCCTCACAAACATACGGAACACCACAACAGCAGCAACAGGCGCCCTCACAAAGCTATGGAGCTCCACAACAACAGTTACAAGTTCCTTCACAAACTTATGGAGCACCACAACAGCAACAGGCGCCCTCACAAACATACGGAGCACCACAACAGCAGCAACAGGCGCCCTCACAAACATACGGAGCACCACAACAGCAGCAACAGGCGCCCTCACAAAGCTACGGAGCACCACAACAGCAGCAACAGGCGCCCTCACAAACATACGGAGCACCACAACAGCAGCAACAGGCGCCCTCACAAACATACGGAGCACCACAACAGCAGCAACAGGCGCCCTCACAAACATACGGAGCACCACAACAGCAGCAACAGGCGCCCTCACAAACATACGGAGCACCACAACAGCAGCAACAGGCGCCCTCACAAAGCTACGGAGCACCACAACAGTCCCCTCAGAAGCCGTCTCAGAGTTATGGCGCCCCGCAACAGAACCAGAATGGTGGTTACGGACAGCGACAGAATAACGGTGGCGGCTTCAGAGCACGACAGAACAGCGGTGGCGGCTATGGAGGACAACAGAACAATGAAGGCGGCTTTGGAGGACAGCAGAATGGCGGAGGCGGCTATGGGGGACAACAAAACAATGGAGGCGGCTTTGGAGGAAAACAGAACGGCGGAGGCGGCTATGGAGGACAACAGAACAATGAAGGCGGCTTTGGAGGACAGCAGAACGGCGGAGGCGGCTATGGGGGACAACAAAACAATGAAGGCGGCTATGGAGGACAGCAGAATGGCGGAGGCGGCTATGGTGGACAGCAAAACAATGATGGCGGTTATGGCAACGAGGGGCACATGAAGGTATCTGTTTATACATGCTACATTATAGCTTCTTGGTTAATTACTTTACTTTTAACACTATTTCACAGTACTTGCTGTACTGAAAACTTTCACTTTTTGGAAGACACATAAATGCGATCATTTTAGATGGTTAAACGTGAAAATACGACCGTAACTGAGTGGCGTATGAAATGATGCACTATGCAGTTTTATTAGAAAGTTGCAGAATGGAATAAATTTATTTTACCCCCCCCCCCCATTTCATATAAGGGATAATATACAAGAATTTCAAATAAAATATCCTTTCTTGTGTACTGTACACGTTTAACGCTGGCTGACTTCTGCATCTTTTGAATGGGGAAAATCTATACGTTAATAAATGTATGAATCAACACTTGCATCCTATACGTATATTGTCTTATGGGGATGGTACTTTGCGTTGTCGATATGTGTTAATCAATCAATCAGAATACCGTCCTCATGTCTGAGAGTTGACGACCACAGTCCTCCACTCTAAATGTTCTCGGGATGTTTTTACCAATCCTCTAAGGTTTTGTATCTGTCGATATATATAGATTTTTTTTTTAAATAATACAATATTAGTTCGTCATCCTAAGGTTTAAAACTCGGCTAAGTCCTCCACTGCCTATCTTCTTCCTCGATACCTGTGCACTAGTCGCTGTCTTCTTGTGTTACAGGGGATGCCATACGGGTTCGACTATGCCGTGAATGATATGTACACTGGAACAGACTTCTCGCAGAAAGAATCGTCGGACGGAAACGTGGTCACAGGCGAGTACAGGGTGCAGCTCCCAGACGGGCGCTTGCAGATCGTTACTTACACCGCCGACCACGAGAGCGGCTTCGTCGCCAATGTTCGGTGAGTATACAGTTTTAAGAACACTATATTAATATGATAATTTATCCAAACAATATCTAATGGACTTATAACACCTAATATATTTACTGTTTTTATCTTATTCTACTCTCAATATTTTTAGATACGAGGGAGAAGCACAGTACCCACAGGGCAATGCAAACGGTGGCGGTCATGGGAACAAAGGTGGTGACAACGGAGGATATGGTCAACAGAATGCAAACGCAGGCAGTTATGGAGGACAACAGAACAGCGGAGGCGGCAGCAGCTACGGAGAACAACAGAACAACGGAGGAGGCAGCAGCTACGGAGAACAACAGAACAACGGAGGCGGCAGCAGCTATGGAAGACAACAGAACAACGGAGGCGGCAGCAGCTATGGAGGACAACAGAACAACGGAGGCGACAGCAGCTACGGAGGACAACAGAACAACGAAGGCGGCAGCAGCTACGGAGGGCAACAGAACAACGGAGGCAGCAGCTATGGAGGACAACAGGACAACGGAGGCGGCAGCGGCTACGGAGGGAAACAGAACAACGGAGGCAGCAGCTACGGAGGGCAACAGAACAACGGAGGCAGCAGCAGCTACGGAGGGCAACAGAACAACGGAGGTGGTAATGTCTTTGGCAGAAAACAGACCAGCGGGAGTGGTAGCAGCTACGGGAGCAACAACAATAATCAGAGACTTAATGGTACACCACAGCAACAAACCCCACAACTCTCACAGACTTACGGCACACCCACTTAGAAACCCTAAACTCAGCTCTAATGTCAGCATTATTTTTCATTTCAGTTACAACGTAATGTTTCATCAGCTTCAGTTTAATCGAGAAAACTAGGCTTTCCAAGTACAGGAACGAATACAACATTGCCAGGGATATTAGATTTTTTTTTCAGTTTTCTTTCTTTCCTAATCTATCATTGTTGTTAGGATCTGGCAAACTATCTCTTTTTTTCATCATCGTAGAGCTGTCTGTATCTGTCCACGCTCTTGTTTATTTTAGAAACAAAACTTAAAATTAAGTGGTGTGTCCAGAGGTGTCCTTCACTAAACGATTCTCGATTCAGTTTGTCCCACGAGTTGCATTTATTCATTATGAATAATAACATTGTTTTAACATTCAATTACCTCTACTACGTTATCATTCCAAGAGGAATTTTATTCTCTATAAGTTATTAACAAATTAAATACTCCCCTATGCGTTTCATTGTATAAACCGGGAGGTATACATCTTGACAGAAGGTGTCCAAACATCCTGAGTTTACTGTATATTACGCTGTGCCAATAGTGTGTAGTGCTGCTGAGTCTCTGTACTATTATGATGGTGCTTAACCCTGTTCCTGCGAGTGTGTTACCAGGAGCTTGTCTGTACGAGGATTATAACCGTAAATCAAACTGCACACGATGATTAGAAAAGTTATGTACAAAGTAATTGTAGAAAATTTGACAAAATAATAAACATTAGTAACTTTGATATAATTATACAGTACCTGCACGTACATTGAGCTGTGAATACTTTCTCGGTACACTCTGAACCTCTGGTAACAGTTATTTATGAAAGGTGTCCTAGACCTGCAGATTGTGATTATACTTTCATTTATCAAATGGCTATTCATTGATAAACTAACTTGCATTTTTTAATGTTCTTTTAGGTTATTTGATATTTTTGTAATAAGAAGAAAATAATAATTACATACATTTTTGTATTAATAGGTAAATATTAATTGCAAATGTGTAATATATTTTTATAATCTATTCATAATATATGTGTTATTGATCTCTGAAATATACATGTTGAATAACACGAGAATATTATGTTTTATTCAGCCCACATATTTTTTTTCGGTAAGGTTAAGTTGAAATCGTCTATTTAGATATCGTCTGAGTGACCTGTAATCCTCCAGAGGTGTGTGTGCTGTTCGAATGCAATATTAATTAAACATGTGATAGCATAGTTTTCCAGACAAATTAGTTTCCTATGAACGAAATCAATTTTTTGTTTAGAAAAAACTCACGATATATTTGCCTTTTATGATGAACTTATACGAGTATATTGAGTGACAAAGTTGTTAACAGTGTTTTGATTAGTCAGGTGACCTTCAGCCGCGAATAACGTGAACAACTACCAAGTCATTGTTTAATAACTTAGTGAATAATTTGGTGTTATTCATTTGGGTGACTATTTATTTAATGCAAAGGGTGCTGTTACAACTTTCTCATCACCGCCGCCACAATCATTTCACCACCGCCACAATCACTTAACCATAATCACTCTACCACTATCAATTCACCACTATAACTTCCAACTGCTTCACCACCTCCACCACAATCACTTCACCATCACCAGACTCACTAAACTAGAAACACTCACCAATATCACCAAAATCAGTTCACCCCATCACCACAAACACTTCACCACCATCACCACAAACACTTCACCACCATCACCACAAACACTTCACCACCTCCACCACAATCACTTCACCATCACCAGACTCACTAAACTAGAAACACTCACCAATATCACCAAAATCAGTTCACCCCATCACCACAAACACTTCACCACCATCACCACAATCACTTCACCACCATAAGAACATAAGAAAATAAGGAGTCTGCAATAGGCCGGTTGACCTGTGCATGGCAGCTCCTGTCGAGAGTTACTACCACTCTCTCATCCATGAATCGATCTAGCCTTCTTTTAAAACTTTTCAGCGTTCCAGGACTTACTACAAAGTTGCTAAGCGTGTTCCACTCGTCCACCACCCTATTTGTGAACCAGTTCCTTCCTATCTCCCTCCTAAACCTAAACTTATCCAACTTAAATCCGTTGCTACAAGCTCTATCTTGCTCGGATACTATAAGAACTTTATCTATATCTCATTTAATGATTCCTTTCACCCACTTAAATACTTCTATCTTATCTCCCCGCACTCTTCGTCTTTCTAGGGAATGCAAGTTTAGTTTATTTAACCTATCTTGATATGGAAGGTTTCTAAGTCCTGGAATTATTTTCGTCATTCTTCGCTGTACCGACTTCAGCGAAATGATATCCATTCTATAATAAGGGCACTAGAACTGAACCGCAAAATGGAGGTGCGGCCTGACTAGCGCAAGATATAGTTGCAATAAGACCTCTGCACTCTTATTACTTACACTTCTAGATATAAAACCTAATACTCTGTTTGCCTTATTTCGAACATTAACGCACTGTTTTCTAGGCCGTAGGTCCGGGCTTACACGTACCCCGAAGTCCCTTTCACAAGTCGACTTCTCTAGGTTGATGTTGTTACGGCTGTATATATTGACAGTATTTGTTCTTTCAATATTAAGTACGCTGCACTTGCTGGTGTTGAATTTCATTTGCCATTTTACTGACCACTCCTGCAGTTTATTTAAATCCTCCTGTAGTGCATTTGCATCCTTCCCTGAATTAATCTGCCGCCCTATTTTGGTGTCATCCGCAAACTTACTTATGTCACTGCTGATCCCAGTATCTAGATCGTTTATGAACAAGGGTGGGCCCAGTACTGACCCCTGGGGAACTCCACTGGTTACACAGCCCCACTCAGATTTAACGCCATCTACGCTGACCCTCTGTGTTCTATCGGCAAGCCATGATTTTATCCAATTTAAAACTTTCCCCTCGATACCATGAGCCTTAACTTTTCTTAGAAACCTCTGATGCGGTACTCTGTCAAACGCTTTGCTATAGTCCAAGTAAATAACATCGTAATTTTCGTCATTATCTACTACCTCGAAGACTTTCCTAAAAAAACGTCAGCTGATTTTTAGACAAGATTTTCCCTTTGTAAACCCTTGTTGAGAATCGTAGATTAATTTGTTTTTCTCTAAATGCGATCGGGTGTTATTTGGTATAACTGATTCAAGAAATTTCCCCACTACTGACGTCAAACTAATCGGCCGGTAATTTGACGCTGATGCTTTGTCACCCTTTTTGAATAGGGGTACTACATTTGCCTGTTTCCACAAGTCTGGCACAACTCCGGTGTCTAAATGATTTTGTAAATAAATTTACGAGGGGTCCGCTAATCTCTTCCTTACACTCTTTCAAAACTCGAGGGAAAATTTCATCCGGCCCTGGGAATTTTGTCTTCTTTAATTTATTTATCTTCTCAACAACATCCTCTTTTCTGATAGTGATATTCTTTAATTTCTCTTCTTCATTTCCCTAAATATCAGTGAATATCTTGCGAAGGTCACAGATATTTTTTCCCAACACAGAAAATACGGTGATAATGGGAAGTAAACTAGTTATTTGACCATTATACTTCACTTGACTATGTAATAATTTATAGCACAAAAGTATATTATTCTACTTGTCGAAAATATCACCTTTACACTGGTGATTGGAAATTGCCAAGTGAGTTACCTACTACCACCACCACACCACCACTTCCCCACCACCACCACAGACACTTCCCCGCCACCACCACTATAAACACTTCCTCACCACCACCACTATAAACACTTCCCCACCACCACCACCATTCCTCCACAGTGACCAACTGTTGTACTCAAGATGGATCTGATTGTTCCTGGCGACAATATTTGACTGGCAGGTGAACAAGGTAACACCGCCTCTTACACTGGGATTTAAAACGCTCATAGAAATCGTGTTTGGTTTAAACAAGATAAAATTATGAAATCACGAAGATATGGCAGCAGCCCATCTTATATCACCTGAAGATTAACTACCCTAACCCCCCCCCCCCCGCCCCCACCACCAAAAGTGGCACTTGTGTATAACAAGTAAAATCTGATTGGGTGCCTAATCTTCACGTGGTGGCTAATGTCGAGCTGAGTTTGGCTGCGCTGAGTGGTTAGTTGTTTATATTGTTACATACGTCTTAGCCTAAAAGTGCTGTTTACATTTTGTTCCCGACAATCATAGACCACTTAGAACACTTATGAATACACCAATGAAGACTGAAGGCATAATGTACACAGTTGAGACATCTCTATTACGCCGACTGGGAACAACCACTTAAAAGGTTTGATCATGGACACGATTAGGTGTTAATCTAATGTTCATAATCCTCTAAAGCCGTGTTAAAGGACTCCGTATAAATGCTAAACCGGATAATGGTCTAGGGGAGAAGGCCGGGTTAATCAGCGTGGGTGGTCGCCTTGTTCTGGTACCTAACCTTAAACTCCGACAACCAAATCACGTTGAACTGGATTTCTACCCCAGTGAAACTGTCAAGTTCATTCAGTATAATTTAGTCCCAGTCATCAACATTTCTATACAATTAATGGGCTATCGAATTGACGTAGATTGGAGATAAATAAGTTGTAAGGGAAATATACACAGCGACATACCTTATATTTTTCAACACCAACACACACACATGATGGCGTCTGTATTTTATAATCCTTGACAACTGGATGTATTAATTTAGGAGCATTTTGTAAACGTTAACTTCCGTCACACATCCACTAATCGCCTCGACCGTCTCCCTACTGGCCGGCTCCCTCCTTCCACGTCTGGGTGTCCCTGGTCTAAATTTCATCCACATCTCCAGTACGAACATACTGTACGCTCTTGTGGTGTTGAAGCACATGTCACTTGCGAACCTTAGTAATAACACTTAATCGGATGGCTAGCGTGGCCATATTTGTTGTGCTTAATTTGACACCATAAGAAAGTACTGATACCTTCCAAAGTGACAACTGAGAGCTCGACTCCCAGACACTGAACCACCCGATTCAAACTTCTATCTAACCGACGCTCTTGTAATGATAAGGACCGGATATTACATGTAAATGCTCACTAACAGAAAAACTGAGTTGCTTCTGCAGGAAATAATGGGAAACGCTTTTTATTCAGCTGATCAACAAAAATCACAGATGGTTCAGAGAAATGTGGCTCCAAGCTCGACTCCTGGTTCAGCGCTTCGTTTGTGGTGACCAGCCACTCAGAACTAATGATACAAACGACAGGTTGACATATCCCCATAGGTAGTTCTGCATGATGAATACATTCTGAATAAATTACACGTAATGTCATGTAGATAATCAGAATCGATTGCATATGCCAAACAAAGATTTTTATTTGGTATATTACGATATATTTATTTTTATGAGAAAATCTACAAAATGGCGTAAACGAACCGAAATAATCACTAATTTGTATCAACTGACACTGCTGGTAGTCAAGGCGGGCGGGGGAGAGGGCTCAGGCCTCAGGGGTGGTAATGTGTGGTGTGTGTGATGATAGATGATGATGAGGATAATCATATAATGATTGATGACGATAATGATGGCGTATATGTGATGACGACGATGATGGTGATAAATAATGAATGATGACGATAATGATGGCGTATATGTGATGACAATGATGTTGAATGATAATGATGGTAATGATGAATAATGATGATGATTGATGCTGCTGAATGATCACCAGTTATTGTAAGACAATTCATCATCACTACAGACACACTTGGTTTGATTTACAGGGGTGAGGTTAGGTTAGGTTTCATTTCACCCCACATTATGGCTTCGTCCCTTAGCATGGGAGTAAAGTCCTTCTTTCACGTCTTAGCAGGGGAGTAAAGTCCTTCTTTCACTTCTTAGCAGGGGAGTAAAGTCCTTCCTTCACTCCTTAGCAGGGGAGTAAAGTCCTTCTTTCACTCCTTAGCAGGGGAGTAAAATCCTTTTCTCACTCCTTAACAGACTAGTTAAATCCTTCCCTCATTTCTTAGTAAGTGAAATCCTTCCTTTACTCCTAAGCAGGGGAGTAAATTCCTTCCTTCACTCCTTAGCAAGGGAGTAAAGTTTTTCTTTCACTTCTTAGCAGGGTAGTAGTCTTTCCTTCACTCCTTAGCAAGGGAGTAAAGTCCTTCTTTCACTCCTTAGCAGGGGAGTAAATTCCTTCCTTCACTCCTTAGCAAGGGAGTAAAGTTTTTCTTTCACTCCTTAGCAGGGGAGTAAAGTCCTTCTTTCACTCCTTAGCAGGGGAGTAAATTCCTTCCTTCACTTCTTAGCAGGGTAGTAGTCTTTCCTTCACTCCTTAGCAGGGGAGTAAAGTACTTCTTTCACTCCTTAGCAGGGGAGTAAATTCCTTCCTTCACTCCTTAGCAAGGGAGTAAAGTTTTTCTTCACTCCTTAGCAGGGAAGTCCTTCTTTCACTTCCTTCCTTCACTTCAGGGTAGTAGTCTTCCTTCACCCAAGCAGGGGAGTAAAGTCCTTCATTACCTCCTTAACAGGGGAGTAAAAATCCTTCACCTTTAGCAAGGAGTAAGTTTTTCTTCTCTTAGTGTAGTAGTCTTTTCACTCACCCTTAGCAGGAGGAAGTCCTCCTCTTCACCTCTTAGCAGGGGAGTAAACCTCCTTCTTTCTCCTTCTTCACCCAGGAGTAAAGTCCTTCTTTCAGTAGGGGAGTAAATTCCTTCCACTACTTAGCAAGGGAGTAAAGTCCTTCTTTCACTCCTTAACAGGGGAGTAAAGTCCTTCCTTCACTCCTTAGCAAGGGAGTAAAGTTTTTCTTTCACTTCTTAGCAGGGTAGTAGTCTTTCCTTCACTCCTTAGCAGGGGAGTAAAGTCCTTCCTTCACTCCTTAGCAGGGGAGTAAAGTCCTTCCTTCGCTCCTTAGCAGGGGATTAAAGTCCTTCTTTCACTCCTTAACATGGGAGTAAAGTCCTTCCTTCATTCCTTAGTAGACCAGTAAAGTCCTTCCCTCACTCCTTAATAAGGTAGTAAAGTCCTTCCCTCACTTCTACACAACACATAAAGTCCTTCCCTCACTCCTACACAACACATAAAGTCCTTCCCTCACTCCTACACAACACATTAAGTCCTTCCCTCACTCCTTCACAACACAAAGTCCTTCCCTCACTCTTACACAACACATAAAGTCTTTCCCTCACTCCTACACAACACATACCGGTAATAATCTCCTCTGATACCCCTTCAACAATCTCTACACTAAAGGTAATTCATCGCTGAATTATATTAATTTTAAAGTATTTTTTTTTATCGTTATGATCATTTTAACTTTTATTTTCGTTGTAATTTAACTTTATGAACATTGGTCTAATATTATTAAACACTACCTAGGTTAAATTTTTTAAGCCAAACCACAATTTCATGACTGTCTGGCAAAGGTGAATCCAGGGTAGGTGGATTCTGGGGGTCCAGAGCCCCCCCTCCCTTCCATCAGAAAATTCCAATACTGTCCTTTGTTTTTTTAATGCAGTATTGTACTCAGGAATTTTCGTACAGTAAAAAGTAATTACTGTTGACCTCAGAATATCTCCTAATATCAAGTGCACAGGGCTTCAAAATGCCCCTGATATTGGTGAGATTAAAAAAAATAAAATTGGGGGGAGGGGGGGGTGGCTTACAGTGTCCCCCATCCACCCCCCCCCTTTTTTAATATTCCTGGATCCATCTCTGTAGTCCATTTAAACCTTACAGGTTTGTGCATATGACACTCAGAGGCTCTCTGGGTAGCACAGCAGAGAGAGCAGTTTATGACAGACCACACCAGCACCGACTTCGAGGCAGTCTTGATTTTAAATCCTGCACTTTAATTTAAGTAAATTTTCTTTTTTATCACTTTTGACACTTATTAATCTTACTAGCCATTTGGGTGCTCTATCTAGTGTTAGTACAGGAAAAAACTGGGGACCTGAAAACCTGTGGTGTTTGGTAGGGTTACACTGGATAACACCCTTCTCACGTGTGTCTGGGCCGAGGCTCAAACCCTTGACATATTGGTGAGAGTTGCCTGCATTACCGGTATATACAGTACTGCCAACACTTATAGTTTATATATATATATATATATATATATATATATATATATATATATATATATATATATATATATATATATATATATATATATATATATATATATATATATATACTGTATAGTTTATATTAAAGAGTTCAAGATCATTGCTGGATTTAGACCTGTGGAGGCCCATGGGCAGCCTCTTTGTTGAGGCCCCCCTCATTATAACTACGGTACCCAAGAGGGTGGGGTGGCGAGTGAAGCGAGCCTAAACATCTGGGAGTTCCGGGGAGCGCTGTAAGCCCCTCGGGAAAATTTTGAAATTTGAACACTTCTTTGGAGAATTTTGAAGCCATGTGCAGTTATACTGAGGAAATTAGAACATTGAGAAATTTTTAATTAACTGTATATTTATTGATAGTGTACAAATTCCCAACACACACACACACAAAAGTGAGACATGACTGGAGATGTGATGGAAGAGATAAACATGAATTTTAAAGAATGAAAATAAAAATAATCCAAATGAATAAAAAATAAATAAAATATTGTAATATGTGGAGGCCCCCAGATTGTGGAAGCCCCTGGGCAGCTGCCCACTTTGCCCACTCCTGAATCCGGCCGTGTTCAAGATAGCTTCTGGCATTTTAGACTACTGTACCGGTACCATAAATAAATATTACAGATACAGTATATAATTAATAAGATAAGTATATATTAATTTTTATTTTAAAAGTTGTAGGGCTCCAAAAGATGGGATTGTAGATTTTCTTAATTCTAGCACTTTAAACTCCATTCATTTTAATTTATAATGTACAGGTACTTCAGTTTGAACATGTTTTTGGTGTGTAATACAGTACCTGTATTAACCTGGTGAAAACTGTAGAACAGCTTAACAATGAAGTTTGAACTTAAGATGTTGAACTGATATTTACACTTACTAATTGCTTGTTATCTAATTTGAGACTGATTAATAAATCCTGTGAATTATCTAATCACATATGTACTAGTTACAATAACAACTACAATATTTCCTTTGAATTTTTATTGTCATATGAGACCAAAATTGATTAACACAAGATGATATGTACATCATCTTGAATAGTATTGGTGGTTAGTACAGTAATGAATATCTAAAGATCTGACAGTAAACAGTTTTTCCTACACTAATAAATAATCTAGTTTATATCATGCCAAGTGGTGAAATGCATTTCTCATTTTCTATTGATGGCAACATTAAATTTTTTGTGTGTGATTTCAACAATATCATCGTTCTTAACACAATATAGCACACTATACTATGCTTCTTCACACAGTCAGAGTCAGGGTAATGTAGGCAGTTTCCACTTGATGGCTGGTTGTCAAAAGGAAGCAGTTGGCTGATGGAAGGCACTAAAAAATAGTAATGTATAGAAAAGATAGGGATTGGTTGACTGAGAAAGCATGAGGGGAGAATAGATGAAAACAAAAAGAGACAAGGGAAAGGCAATAGAAATCCATGAAAGGAATCTCTAATCTGAGCACTCTATGGCACACCTACTATGTCAGGCTGCCATATGAATGAGGCCAAAGCACCTTTATTTTAGGAAGAAAAGCTCCATTTATACATCAAAGGGATGTTACTGAGTGCCATGAACCTTGAGGTGATGGTCATACAGATTACATGCGTGTTGCCACATTTCCGTAAGGAAGTTTTGGTAGTTATCATGAGCCACTGGAACCAGCTTCCTCGTATCATCCTGTTGGATAAAAACGTATACTGTACTGTGCACATCATTATCATCCTTAATATCTCTTTAATTCATATTACGCTACATAACATCCAAATCCACCGCGCTTGTAGAGTCACAGAAAACTGTAGAAAACGGGAAACGTTGGTAAGGGATAACTCACCTACTGTATGTTGTTTTAGACGAATTGTACCAAGGTACGGTCATATAATATTAAGTGTATGTACTTATAGCATTAAGGAGAACTCAAGGTATCTATAGGATGATTGGGAAGGTCCAATTGATACGGACTAGTGATAAGGGATAAGTATAGATTGTGTCTGAAGGTCATACTATTTACTTCTGTGAACGATTAGTGAACATAGCTACCGCAGATATCAGATGAAAATACATGAGAACAATGATCTGGAAAAAGGATAAATGTATCAGACCTATGTGAAGAGTTGGAGGTGATCCAGAAACTATGCTTCAAAGAGAATATCTTGTATACCCACGCCATGAAATACAACGCTAGACTTTTGTTCGAGTTAGCGCCTAGGCCGCCCCGGGCTAAGGTGCAACGTTGATATTGTAACCCAATGAATTTCCCCAGGCATAAGGCATAAGGTCACAATAGATAGGAAAGTGTATATGTGAGAACCAGAATAATATCAAAGTGAAAATTAAAGATTGGAAACTGTAGGCCCAGTTCAGTGAGAGATGCGAGGCACCGCCCTCAGTGATGCCCGGTCTCTCACCAAAACAGGTCAGTGAACTCCATCGTGCTCCATTCAGCCCTAAAAAGAATTATCTAACAGTTTTTTACATCTTAAAACCTTGCCTGATGTTATAAAGTGAAGTAATAGTTGCAATAATACATGGTGATAAAAGCCCATCAAGCATTACTCTCAGTGATGCCAGCTCTCTCACCAAAACAGGTACGCACGCGCCCAGAGTATTGGCCAAGCCACTACCAACCGCCACTGTGAGGAACTCTCCACTGTACCATTATGCATCTCCACTGTGAATCTGTGGTTACCCTACATATCACCACCCAGGATAGGAGAACATAATTGTGTGTTTGTGAAGTTTCGCGGTCGCCACGTGGAGCGACCTAAGAATACCAGGCGTGGAACCAGTACTGGTATGATTACCTGGGAAGTATTCCATCTACTCAGCAAGAGTAGAGTGTAACGAGGTACCTGGTATGTGTACCTAAGAATACCGAGGAGTTCCATACTTGTAGGAGTGGAGTGTACCCGAGATGTGGTGTTATAATATAACATGTGGTGCTATACTCTAACATGTGGTGCAGTCTGATGTGTTGGCTGTTATGGTAAGAAGGAATGACCGAGGTAAGGCGGTCATTGGTTGTTATGAAGAATGAAGATGATAATAGTAATTATTTGATGAAAGACGTATACTGATGTGAAGTGTAATGAACATAATAGTGGTTCTTCTGATGAAGGCCAACTTTTTTGTATTGTGACGGGATGCAATATGTTTTTATAAGGAATAACTTAGTTAAGTCATGATTGATGTTTCACCCTTCTTCCCACATTCTGAAGAAGCTTAGAGACATAGGTTAGGCTTTTAGGTCTATACAGTACTTAAAAATTATAAAGAAGGTACAAGCAACTGTGCAATACTGTACCATTAACCTTATGGTTGACTTACCCTGAAAAGTAGGTCGTGCTCTGAGTAATAATCGAAGAAGAGCTTAAAGAATGAGTCTGACTTCCCAAAATAGTAGGCAGCTTTCAAGAGGACATGACGCATGTCTTCCTGTCTTGCACTTGAATCTGTCTGGCGAGTTACAACCTGAGTGGAAATATAACTCTTAGGAAATTGAGTCATTATAGGTATCATATGCACAAGTCACAGAAGCAGGACCACAGGTCAACTAAAAAGTATGAACAATATTAGACACTAAAAGCAAATAACTGGGGACTTGCATAAGGTAGAAAATGTTAATTCCTGTAACATTATCATCAATAACCAAATCTAGAGATTTTTAAAATGTGTCTAGTGCTAAAAGAAGAATATTTTACAATTCCATACCATACAGTACTATGCATTAATAACAACTGTACTGTATAAAGAGATATCCTGGAAGAAAAAATCATAAAATATTTGCCAATCTTTTCTCATCAAAACAAACCCATTAGTCAAAATGGAACAACAAAGTCCTGAATTACTGAATTCTTAAAATTTTTTACAATTACACTTGAGTATCAGCATAGTAGTTCCAAATGCTTGGGACCTACAGGCTTTCAGAAAGTTAATACAATACAGTGACCCCTCGTTTAACGAACACCTCGGTTAACGTAATTTCGATTAACGAACTGCCTTCCATAAGGATCTTCAATTCGGTTAACGAAAAAAAATTCGGTTAACGAAGTTCTTACGAACCGACCTCAACATGTTTTCGCTTGCACTGACCGGGCAACCAGCTTTAGTATCAGTCCGCCAATACATTAATCAGTTCTAGGGCTTAAATTCCTTACTATTTTAGTAAATATCAAGAAGTTTATACTATTCAATAATTTTAAAAGTTTAATATTCAATTTTTTTGTCATTTTAACAATTATTGAACATAACTGAAGGTAAAGTGACTAGTTTAATGCGCGGCATCCAGCCTCTTAACACAGCAAACAGGAGTTAGTCTCTCTCTGTTTTCACTGGAGGTAACATCTTGCTTGAGACTCTCTTCAACTAAACGCTTTTTTTCTGTGTTTCCAAGCAAATTATTGGTCATTTTGAAATATATTTTACATATTGACAATATATAATGCAGTGCAGTGTTGATTTAAAGAAAATAATCCTGAATTACACCAAGAGAGCTAAAATTTTATGGGTGAAATGGCACCATGGGGTGACTTCTCTTCCACCCCAATGCCTTATCTTCTTCCTTCTCCTCCACCCCCATTCTAAATCCCATCATCATCATCATCATCCAGGAGCCTTCTACATACACACCTCAAAGTAAGTGAACTTTTCTACCATTTTTGTTGAATTTAGGAAATTTTCGGTGAGCTGGAACCAATTACCCAAAAACCCATTGAAACAATGGTTTCGGTTAACGAACTTTTCGGTTAATGAACGACCTTCTGGAACGGATTGAGTTCAACGGAGGGGTCATATATATATATTGTATATATATATATATATATATATATATATATATATATATATATATATATATATATATATATATATATATATATATATATATATATATATATATATATATATATATATATATATATATATATATAATGTGTGTGTGTGTGTGTGATCCCTGGATGAGGTAGCTACTGGCATCAAACAGATGAAGAATAACAATGCCTCAGGGCCTGATGGAGTCCCAGCTGAGGTGTATAAAGTAGGAGGACCTCTGCTTACCAGCTGTCTCCACTCTCTCCTTGAGGATATATGGCAAAAGGAGGAAATCCCCCAAGCTCTTAAAGAATGCCTCCATTGTCAATATTTATAAGAACAAGGGAGACCGGTCAGACTGGCAACTACCACAGGATCTCAAAGCTGTCCATTGTTAGCAAGATTATTGCCCGAGTCCTCCTAAACAGACTTCTTCCTGAAGCAGAAAACTTCCTCCCAGAATCTCAATGTAGCTTTAGACCATCACGTGGCACCACCGACATGATCTCTGCTGCTCGCCAGACACAGGAAAATTGCAGAGAACAGCGTCATGTACCTGCACATGGCCTACATCAACCTAACCAAGGCATTCGACTCGGTCAACAGGGAAGCCCTCTGGCTGCCCCAAAAAATTCATTGCTCCACAACGGCATGAATGGCAGTGTCCTGCACAATGGCACCCAGTCTGAGTTCTTCCCCATCCAAACAGGGTTAAAACAAGGATGTGTACTGGCACCAAATCTCTTTTCCATTTCCTTGGCTACCGTCCTTATTCGTGCCTGTGCCAATTTAGCTGGCGAGGTGGACATCCAGTACCAGATGTAGGGTCTTTTCAACATAAGATGACTCATGGCAGGAACAAAGACGTCAGCAGCTTCCATTTCTGAACTTCAGTATGCAGACGACCTCGCCCTTGTCTTTCACACTGAACATAACCTACAGGAGATCATGAATACCTATGCAGGTGCATATGCACACTTCAGCCTTGAGGTGATTGTACATAAGACTCGGATTCTCTTTCAGCCTGCCCCTGGTTCAGCCACACTTCCACCATCTTTCCAGCTTAACGGTTCTACCCTCTCTAATGTTACCCACTTTCAGTACCTCGGCTCCCACCTGTCCACCAGAGCAGACATCGTTGAAGAAATTCAACATCGAATCACATGTGCAGACTCCGTACCCGTGTCTTCAGCTGTAAGGAGCTGAAATTATTTACAAAGTTGCACGTATATCAAGCAATGGTCCTCCCTACCCTGCTATATGGCAGCAAGACATGGGTCACATACAGGAGGCACCTCAAGGCACTTGAAAATTTTTCCAACGTAGTCTACGTTCCATCCTCCGAGTTTCCTGGGAAGACAAGAGAACAAATGCCAGTATTCCTGCTGACACTAACTGTAGGAGCATCAAGGCTACCATTATCCATGAACAACTATGTTGGACTGGCCATGTTACCCGCATGGATGACAGTAGACTGCCAAAACAGCTACTTTACAGTCACCAAATGAATAGTAAATGTACTCTGGCAGGTAACTGAAAAGGTATAAGGATAGTCTTAAGACAAACCTGAAAAAGTGCCAAATCGATCCCCTCACCTGAGAGACAATTACTCCACACTGTAATGCTTGGAGGAACACCATACGAGAAGGAGTCAATACTTTTGAGTTAGCCCAACTACATACCAAGGCAGACAAGTGCCAACGCCAGAAAGACACTGATGCCACCCCTCTCGCACTAGATATAGCCCCCACACATGCAACATCTGTGGACGACCCTGCTGGTCCAATATCGGCCTCTCTAATCACCTCAGAGCTCACCAAGAAAGGTCACATCCTTAATAACTCATATAATTTTATCATAGCTGGATGATCGTCATACTCAATTTCGAATGACAGCAAAGTGTGTGTGTGTGTGTCTTCTAAGCATTCACTCTCATCCTTGATTACTTACCACATCCCCTGGCACTCTTCCAAGATTACACTCCTTGACATTATAGTCTGTGACAGGTAACACCCCTTGAGCACACACAAGTCGGAAGTTCTCTGGATTCAGGTATGCATTTGTGATCTCCCCAGTTATGTCTGTAAATTTAATATTAATATTTAAAGTAAAATACTTTTTTCTGGCAATTGGTGAACATTCAAATGATTCTTACATCAGAATTTGAAAGGCCGTAAAAAATAAAAGATGTGACCTAAAATCATATTTGATGGTGTAATACGTACTGTACTTGCACTGCTTTTCAATCTTGGGCATTTTAAGTTAAAGAAACTCTCTATCCACTTAATCAATACATAGGAATTGACTGCCTATGGGACAAGGCAGTCACTCATGTGCTTTGAAATTACTCTCAAGAAGTTAAGCTCACATGTATAATACTGTATTCACATTATTTCTTAATACAGTACTGAGCAAGATCCAACTTTGTACTTATTTCATAACACCAAATATAATATTTCAAATTTCCAAGCTTCTTCAACATCAATTATCAAACAATTCATGATGTCTAATGGGTGTGAACAAAAAGTTTACTTTGGCACTTTTACAAAAATAAAACATACACTTTGAAACCATCCAGGACTGGTTTATGAGAATTAGTTACTGCTCAAGGTGTTTAAATGGCCAGTACAGCACACAATAAATGACACTTACCACCATCACCAGACACAGAATGCTTAACAAATGCCACATCTTTGTTGGACCCCACCAGACAACTAAAGGCTTCTGCATAGGTGTGGAAGAAGTCACTGGTGCCACTAAGACAATTTGTCAGACTGTAGTCGATAAATCCACTTAAACTGGAATCTGCAGGAGGAGAGTTGGCAGATTACTGGTATCAATTTATCAGATTACCATTAGAGCTTTAAATCTATCCAATATACGGTTCATATTGGAAAGAATACTGTTCAATTACATGAATGGAACTAACTTATATTGTACAGTACTTCACTTTCTTCATTACGAGATTTATCTATAAAAGTACATACCCCCTGTACTGATTGAATCTAAGATGTATTTTGTTCTATATGACTAAAATAAAATAAATACAGTACTTCATCTCTTCTGAATACAATGCAAATACTGATGTGGGTAAACGAAATTCAAGTCAAAGTGAAACTTCTCAAATGGATACTGTAATACTGACTGTGTGCAATGTGACAGGTGGTCTTGCCAGTGAGGTCCGAGCTTTTGGTAATGCCCGAGTCCTTCTTGATGACTGCCACTAAGTACTGTAAGTTATTCTCATTGAAAGAATAATGCTCTGCCAGCAGGTCTATAAGGTTATACTCTCTGAAAAAAATTATAAAGAAGTCACTCTACCTGATATTGTACTCCAAAACTGAAAATTAGTCTGGAAGTTGATGCTAAACCACAAAGGATTATTGCAGACTGAAACTGTAGTTATTGTATATAGATGCTAATATCAGAAAATTTGAATATTTTGTTAAGTTGTGAAGAACAGTCATTTGTTTCTGTAAGTGAGAAGGATAATGAGGACAAATGCATATAGAGCAAAGTTTGAGTGATGAATCACTAAATTTTGATTTTTCAAATCAATGACTGGATTGAAGTTGACACTTGCTACAATGAAAACTTACAGAAGTCATATGCTTAGGAACGAATAAGTTAATACTAAGGGCAAAGTTATTGACAAAGTATAGAAGGAAACAGAAGAGATCAAATGACAACCACATGCTTTTGACTGGAAAAGTGAATTCATCAGATTAGAGGGAAGACAAATATTTTAGACTACAGTTGAGATGCGATAGGAGGATAGCTCCAACAAATAAGCTTTATTCTATATTGTTAAAAGGAAACGACATATTGGTGAAAATAACAACCAAGAAAGATATTTACTGATTTGCCCTGAAGCGCTGAGCATCATTTAGAGTGACCACATCAGCTAAATCCTGACTAATCATTCTGACACAGTTGTTGGTGTCCTTCCCCAAAACACATTCAAGATCAGGTGATATCCCTCTGAGTTTCAACATGGCACTCAAGTCATTGCATTTCTTGGATTCTTCCTCACTGGTGACACAAAATCGCACTGTCTTCTCTGCAATGCACATCCTCTCCGCTTCAACAATGTTCATACGAGCTGAAAATAAATTGCGGTGATGAATATAACCAGTTCTTCAATTACAAGGATCAGATTATCAATGGTTAGTGAAAATACATTAGATACATAATTCCAACATATTAAGCCACAGTTTGCATGCAGTCATAATTGTTAGTCAAAATGTGGTTATAAATACAATGGAGGATTAACTCTGTTCATGACCAATACAAATTCAAGGGGAATTCATTATTGTAATATTGGAAAAAAAAATCCCTCAACTTTTTTCGCCACATCTAGCATCCACTTGAACATCGTGTAGGTAAGAGGGATTGGGATTTTAACATCAATTTATTCAGATTTTTCTCTACATTATATGAGCATTATCTCATGTTATTTTGGTATAATTTAAATACTTTTTACTTTTTAATGTACTTTTATCCTCTTCGACACTTATTGGCTCGTTAGCCGCTTGGGCAATCGGTCACGTCTCAGATATACATTGTTGGCATGTACTGGCTCCTGAATGTATCTGAACCTGCTTCAGTGTTGGTCAAGTCTGGTCTTGAAAGAGCTCACACACGGTGCCAACACAACACTCTCTGGCAGATTGTTCCAAGAGTTCACAATTCTCACTCTGAATAAGTTTGACCTCACAGTTTTCTGAACTTGTGGCTTCTTCAACCTTGAGCTGTGACTCCTTGTGAGGCGGATGTCTGCCAGCTCCAAGTATGGACACTCGACTGAGTAGTGCCGTTTGAGAGGCTTATACTGTACACCTCAATTAGGTCACCCCTTGCCCGCCTGTAGTGTAAACTAGGACAAGCAGTGTTTACTAGCTATAAACCAATCAAACATATGACCCCACCAATATATGTTAGATACTGCCAACTGTTGTAGGTCTTTTGGCCTTAACTGTAAACATTTACCAGATACTGTATGCATTTATTTTGTGTTTATATAACTTTCATCAAATATCACTTTCAGCTACTTGAGCTATTAATAATATTTTATCACCATCTATCCATAACTGATTAAAGGAGATGTTTGGGATGGTTATTCTGCATTGAAAAAAATGAGGATGAATTTTAAGATTTTAAGAGGCATTATTATGAAGTTTTCATGAGTCACACTGAGCCAGGTGTTGTACTTGTTACCATACCCATAGGTTCTGTTATAATAAGTCAATCTTTACTCACTTTATGATTACATCTGTTGCCCACATACAGGGTTGTAAAGTAATGAAATAAATTTACTTGAGTACTGTACTCAAGTAACATTTCTGGATATTTACTTTTTAAAAAGTACTCAAATTTTTTGAATTTTTACTTAAGAATCGTTTTCTAATACTTTTACTCCAATGTAATTAAAAAACAAAAATCTTTTCTTGTTACATGCCCCAAACAAAGAGTGTTAATGTCTGAGGCAAACTAATAATACAGTACATTTTTAAATAATTAATTAATTAATTATTTAACTTTAGTAAAAGAGTTGTATGGGTGGAGGGTATAGTGTGGGTGGAGCCATGAAGGGTAAGGTGTGGGTGTGGGGAGACACCACGCGGTCACATACTTAGAGGCCTTGTGAGGTGAGGTGACGGGAGGTGAGGTCAGGTGGCAGTGGCCATGACAGCGGACTTTCTCTTTCATCTTCTTGTGTCCAGTAACACCTTGACCACCCATCTCACCTAGCCTACCCTCTTACCCCTCCCCCCTCCATAGAATCCCTTCTCTTTTCCCTCACCTTTCCTTCAGGGGCTTGGTCTTCCCATTAGATGTCAGTTGCTCTTTGCATATACTTGTACCTTAAATGAATTTCAAAGAGGCTGTGATTCTAAAATGCTTTACACAATTCCATCTCAGATATAAAGCCTGTATCTCTACAAATGTGAGACTGAATGTATTTAAAATTCTGCTTAAATAGCTAAGTACCACTGTCCCCCCCACCAGAACTCGCCAGATGTGACATGGTGCAAAAAATTCAGCCAGTCATCATTTAGAATCGAAAAGTAAAGTCACCACAGCCACACCCCAATTATGTTGAGTCTTAGTCAGACTCAATCACTATGAAGGCAAATTCATCCACAAACTCCTCAACTGAAGGATCTACTGAGGCCTTTCCCGACTTATCTCTGAAGCTTATCACTCCACTACCTGCATCTGCTGCTTGTGAGCATCAGTTTAGTCATGTTGGGCTTATTATTTATAATTTAATAAATTTATTACACCCCAGGGGACAACAAGCCTCGTCACAAGACACATTGGTACTTGTGTCTTGCAGGACACACTATGACTTGTGATATGGAAACAATATTGATATGATTTAAAGACACTGGGAGTTAGCAACCACCAAAGCGTGGGTAGCATACGAGAATTAAATCTAAATTATTATGAATAAGTAGGTGGTGACATATAGTGGTTAGTGACTCGTTCTGTGGTAGGAGGTCGCTGAGAGTGGGACAGTCAAGTCAATGGTGGTGAAGGGTGTTGGCATTGGGATAGCTACAGAGTTTACAGGAAGAGAAGAACGGGGCATCCTCCACCTCAGATACATGCCAGATAGGTGTGTATCCTAACCTAATGCGAGGAAAGACAACAGTCTACAGACCATAAGTCCATGTCGAAGATACTTGTGTGGATAAGTAAGAAAGTGATCATAGTGTTGGATGGATATATTTTCAGCCAGTTCACTATCCCTGCAATGGATTGTAGGGAGAAGAGCGGCTGAACATATTCTCTTTCGGTAGGTTACACTGCCTTCTGGGCTTATATTTAGGCCTAAAAGATCCTGATTGGACAGCCATAATTTGGGGAACCAGTTATTGATTAACCTCAATGAAAAGAATTGCAAATAAACACGTGTAATGCTACGTGTCTTTTATTTTTATCTTTAGTTTACTAGTTTTCAAATAATTTACTGTGGCTTTATTTTAATATTTGAGAGTTTATGAATGAGATTCTTTTTAACTTCTACTTGAATACATTGATCTTTGAATACTTTTACTTCTATTTGAGTAACTTTCACCAATGTAACAATACTTTTAAGTAACAAAGTCCAGTACTTTTTACTCTGCCCACATATAAGGAGGGAAACTGCAGCTGAGTGACTTTTGTACTGCACACCCTAAATGACCTAAAGGTTTGAGCCCCCAGCCAGCCACCGAAATTGGATTCCTAACATACTACTGGTGAAATGACAGATAGCAGTGCAGAAATGGCCATCCTTTATTTTTGTGTGCTTCAGAAACCTTTATCCGCAGTACCCCTTACAGGTCATCAAGCCTGTAGGACCAATTTCACCCATAAATATACCGTATATGGAACAAAAACAATAAAACTTACTTTGTGAATAGTAATGTCCAGTTTGTACATTGTCCAAGATGGGTAAGATATCAGTGGAGGAAGGGTTGAGACCTAGAGTGCTGAAATACCAATTCCTATTTGCTAGATCTTCTTCACCTTTCCTCTTTGCCTGGCTCAAGGCCCAGAACAGTTTTTGAACTTTAGCCTCACTGAAAAAAGAAGATAAATAAAAAAATATATTAGAAATTCACATAATACAATTAACAAATCTTCAACAAAATTCAATACAGTATAGTCTTCATTTACGCGGTCAAATGAACCCGTGGAGGTCCGAGTAAAACGAGAAACGCGTAAACGAAATAACAAAACATATGGGATTAATTGAAATAGAGACTGGGCCGACCCCCAAACTACACTTTTTCCAACACAATATGTACGTTGTAGTAAAAATAACATCTTAATTTTATGATGGTGTGCACATACAATTAATATTTAAGAGAAATATCAATAATATTAGGTTTTTTAACACTTATGTTAGTAGAAAAGATGGCTGGGCACACGGGGATGGGGGGTTGGTTCCGAGGCAAAGGGCAGGTTATTGGCCATCACCTGTATCACTTGTATCACTACCCACCACAGAGGCTTGCAGGGCCTCTTTGTCAAACCCCTCAAAGTCCATATCCTAACTATCACTGACTTTGGCCGGCTGTGGTGGGTGGCGGGTGAAGAACTCGGTAATATTTTGTTGACTGAGCGACCTTGTGCGCACCCTGCCCGCGCCATTTCCCGCGTAAATGATGGAATGAACAGTGTAAATAAAAATTGTCGGTCTGGCAAGGTGCCGCATAAATACCAAACGGGGAAACCCAATCCGTTTAAATCGAGACTATACTGTACTGTATTACCTGTCTATATAAAAAAAAAATATTGGAAAGCAAGAGTTCTCCCTACTAATGAACAGCATAAAAAATTTCTGCTTTATAAAAAAATCAAAGTCTCCTCTTCGCAATTTTTTGCTAACTAGCCTGCAAAGCAGTTGGTCAATTCTCTGCTGTATGCTATGATAATAATTGAACATATACAAGATCTCATACACTATCACAGTATTTGTTGGTAGCGCAGTACGTACTGTTTTCCACAAGTTCATAACTCACATCCCAAAGAAATTACCAAATACTGCAGTGTATGCATCAGTGTGGCCTATAAAACAAACCAAATTTTTCAGTGAGAGTAAACACAGTGCACTCATAAATTTTCTAATTCTTCTCAAATTACTAACACTCAAAAAAAAATACTGTACATAAAAAGTGTTTTACATAATGTTTATAAGTGTGATTTATGTAATGATTGAAAGCAGTGATTTACTTCATATTAATCCTACCAGCCATGTGAAAAACTGTACTGTACTAATTTAAAAAAAAAATTTACTACTATTTAGTGAGAGGAAATATTGTAACTACCAGGTAATAATGTGTTGTAAAGTAATACAGTACTGTAATTTGGGTGAGACAGCCTTGGAGAACAAATAAAATTTCTTGTTGCTCTGACTGAATAACAAAGGTAAGCATAGAAATGCAATACAGTACAGTGCAGTATTCCAACAAACAATATTTGACCTTGTAGCACTTTCTATATTCACCTAAAAAATTTCACTACTGATTCTGTTTTTCAAATTTCATGCAAGATCAGAATGTTTAATATTAATATTCCCAATAGTAACAATGCTGTAAAGTGAGATATTGTGGTACAGCATAACATCCTTATACTGTACAGTATTGCCATGTGGGCTGGAGCTAGACACCACTCTTACCAGGACTTAAGTGTAAATCAAATTACAGGATGATTCAAAAGAGAGCTGAGTGTTTTCTCTTTTTACTCCCATTTACTGTACAGTACTTGTCAAATGTACTCTTAATAAACCCACCTGTTGGGATACAGCATATTCCATGGTTCAACTAACAACACAGGATAAAAAAAACAATACTGTCCAGTAGTACCCCAATTTAAGCGGTCAATTGAACCCACAGGGTACCGCGGAAAGTGAAAACCGCATACAGTGAACAACAGAACATATGGGATTAATTCCAATAGAGACTGGCCCGACCCCCAAACTCCACTTTTACCGACACAATACCTATGTTGTAGTAAAAATAACATCTAAATTTTATGATGGTATGCTCACACAATTAATATTTAAGAGAAATACAGTCGCCAGGTTAATGTCCATTCAAATAATGGACTCAAATCACTCCCCCACCTCTTCCCAGCTCACTGGCTCCTACCTCTCTGAGAAATGATTGGGTGAAAACACTAGATTTTAACGTTTAGTAATAAATAATACCTTGGACTAAAGTTAGGATAATATAATTGACATTTCTGGATTCCTTGTAGGTCAGGGAATATTTTGAATGTAAACGTCATATATTTTCCACAAAAGATAAAATATTTGCTTTGTGTAAACCAAATTATTACATTACCGTATATCACGGCCTATAAGACGAAATTTGAACATTAAAAAAATCTGCCCAAAGTTAGGGGGTCGTCTAAACCACCAAGTTTAAAATTCTTACCTCTTAAATATTGTGGCTTAGTGTGTCAAGAGTGGTGATGAAAACATCGTAAGCCACTCACAAGGTCTTACCACTAATTATTTTATACTGAAACTTACGTTTGGCAAGCTGGATTCAAATTAAGATTACCGGTATATTAAAATAATAAAAATGTATTATAAACCTGTCTAACATACCGTAAAAGAGATTTATACCCCTGTAATAAACACAGCTATCATCATACACCCCTCCCCACGTCCCCCCCATTTGCCAGTGAGGAGACAAGAAAGGAAAAAGTGACCGCAGTTGATACACAGGCAGCTCAAGTGTCACTAGTGTTTACACTACACCAACCAGTAACATTTGATGCCATTACTTGAAGTGAATTGGCCTTATTTTAAGTAACTAACTATAAATAAATACAAAAATTAAAAAGATCAAAACTGAGAAATAATATACTGTATGTATGTTGTGTTGTCAAGTAAGAGGAACAATTGTGTAGTACGTAATATTTTTTCACTCAAATCCTAATGAAACACTACTGGAGAACATTCCTTTGTCGCAAAACAAGTTTATAAATTAAAGAAAATAATTACAGTGTGTTTAATATATTACAGTATATTATAAATAAATAAATAAATAATTCGGTAAATCTATTTCAAGTAAATGGAAAATAAGCAAACAAATGTTATTTACCAAGAAGCTTCCCTCTGGCTCAGGGTGAGATGTAGGGGTACGGTAGATAACAAGGCTATTTATAGCCCGTCTTTGTGTCTGAAGTGGCCAGTACCCTAATGCACCATAAATAATTCATTGAACATTCATTTTTTGTACATAGTATATTCAGTACATATATATATATATATATATATATATATATATATATATATATATATATATATATATATATATTATATATATATATATATATATATATATATATATATATATATATATATATATATATATATATATATATATATATATATATGTGTGTGTGTGTGTAATAAATGTCTGTAGTAAGTACATACTGGTAACCTTTTTCACTCAAATCCTAATGAAACACCACAATTAGAATACGGTGGTTGCTGTTGAACCACATGTTGTATAAATAGTCACACCACCCAGACGAGGGAACACTCCCACCACGCTTCAGTGACGTCACTAGTGTTTACACTACACCAGCGAGTATAATTTGATGACATTACTTGAAGTGAATTGGCCTTATTTTAAAAAATCAAGGATGGTTGGTAAAGGACTACTGAGTCAGTGGGTAAGTGTCACATTTGGGGTACTGGTCTTATACAGCAAATAGAGCTCAAAAGCTACTTTTTAAATGGAAATTTGGGGGGGCCGTCTTATGCACCCCGACGCCTTATAGGCCGCGATATACGGTAGATCTAAAATTTGTATGTCTAATGCAAAATCCATGATGTTTATATTCAAAATGATCATCATATTGTAAGAATTCCAGCAATGTAAATTATATTCTGGTCGAGTAATTTGTATGAGTTTTATGAGCTAAAACAAATATCTTCAGTTAATAAAAAAAAATATTCTTCACAACACTATCTGTCAATCAAAGTACCCCAACTTGCCTCCCCCCCTCCTCACACTCACGCCAGCTGGGTCGGTGGTCAGTCCCAACCCTCCCCCTCACCCCCCACCTTCCCTCCCTACCAGAGAAATGTGTGGGTGAAAATACTAGATTTTAACTTTTAGTAATAAATAATAACTCAGACTAAAGTTAGGATAATATAATTGACATCTCTGGATTCCTTGCAGGTCAGGGAATATTTTGAATATAAACTTCATATATTTTGCACAAAAGATAAAATATTTGCTTTGTGTAAACCAAATTATTACATTAGATCTAAAATTTGTATGTCTAATGCAAAATCCATGATGTTTATATTCAAAATGATCATCATATTGTAAGAATTCCAGCAATGTAAATTATATTCTGGCTGGGTAATTTGTATGAATTTTATGAGCTAAATAAAAAAAAAAAAAAATTATACTTCACCGAGTATATGAGTAGATGCGGAAAGTGAAATTCCGGTTCTGGCAAGGTACCGCTAAATGAGAAATCGCGTAAAGTGAAACCCGTGTAAGGCACACGGGGTAATACTGCAATCAGTGTGAGATAAACATACTCTTTACTGACCTTGCTCCACCATGTGTAACATATGTATCCCAAGGTCGGGCGGCCCAGAAGCAGTTGCTAGCATTAGGAGATAAGATGTCGATAATGTGGCCATCCTGGCACATAAGGCCATAGTCATTCACATCTGCTGCTCGGTTGTCCTGGGGATAACACAAGGGACATATAACTCAGTATTACAAGTTAACCTCATGTCTTATATACTGTAGTACTGTACCACTGAAAATATTTTGTTACCAATTTATCTTTGCAGTATACTGTACGGTACAGTACGTAGATTTAATAACCCAGCAATGGAATGAATAATTTCCTTCAAATACGAGTGGAATTACTTTCAATCAATGGGTGTTGTAAAAAAAAATTTAAATGAAAATATATTGAATAGGAAAAAATATTTCCACCTACTGTAAAGAACTGTTGAACAACATTAATCTTGCTAAAGGCAATATCTCCATCATTCTGCGTCAAACACCGCAATGCTCCTTCATAGCCAGCGTAGTCATCATTACTGTCACAGGTACCACCCTTACACAGACTACACATGGCTCCAAAGCGATCCTCTGGAAGTCAAGAATGATCACGTGCGAATCATCTGCAGGTATATATAATATGTCATTTCAAAGCAAAATTTTCTACAAACATTAAAGGTGTTCCTTATTTCCACACAATTACTCATACTACTATGTCTATACTTTTAACCACACCGACCTCCATATCTGTTATGCTATACTGTATTTGTACAGTACTGTACTGTGTCACAATCCTTCTACTTGTACAATCTCCTCCAATCTAATTGTTTATCATTTATTTCTGCTTCAATTATCTCCACATCATAAATGAACCAAAAGGTCATGTTAAATAACCACTTCCTGCAAAACTACTCAGCTCAAAATTCCCACAAACACCAGTTTATTACCTACATCTAACATTAACCTTTAATTCTAACATTCCATAACAGCCATGTTTAACAAATAAAAACTTAAAGAGGTGATCATATTCCAGCATTTTTGCCAAACTTATTCATCAAGTTTTCTCTTCATTTTTTTTTTAGTCCTCAAGCATGTACAGTATAGTTGTGTATGCTTTTTTGGGGAATCAAGAACTTTCTTTGCAAAAGTTCATTGTACATCCACATTAGAATAAATTATGATCAAAATGATGATATCACTTAAAAGATTTATCAATGCATCATCATCACCATACTGTGGATGTTTTCCACATTTTTTAGGGTTGGCCGTGATGATCTGATCAGATGGCTCTTGCACAACTATTTTTACTTTTTTCACTTTTATCATCTTCACCACTGATCGGCTCATTAGACGCTTGGGTGGTCAGTCACGTCTCTGTTATGTATTGTTGTCAAGTACTGGGTATGCACTGGCTCCTGAATATATCTGAACCTGCCGTCACAATGCTCTCTGGCAGATTGTTCCAAGAGTTCACAATTATCACTCTGAAAAAGTTTGCCCTCATAGTTTTCTGGACTTGTGGTCTCTTCAAACTTGGGTTGTAACCTACTCAAGGTGCTGGATGTTTAAGCTAAAATTCTGAAAGAGGGTGGTAATATCAATAAAATATACAGTGGGGTATGCTATAACGAACGGATCCTACTACGAATATTCCTATAACGAACGGTTTTACCTATAAAATTGAGAATGCTATAACGAACAAAACTCCTACAACGAACATTATTTAAAAATTTTTTTTTTTTTTTTTTTTACCAATTTATTGTTTTTTTATTACAAGTATTAATGATATTGGTTATTTCAGGGGTTTAGATGCATATTTATGCACTTTTTTACAATTTTTACAATTTTATATTATATTTTTCAGTGTTAAGTGGTTGTATTTGGTGGCCTGGAACGGATTAATCCTATAACGAACGAATGCTATAACGAACAAGGTTCTAGAACCAATTAGATTCGTTATAGCATACCCCACTGTATCTTAATTTCTTCCAAGGCTTTATGACAGTGTACCCCATGAAAGGCTTAGAATTAAACTGGAAATGTACAGATTCAGGAAAGTGTCCTAGCATGGATCGGAGACTTTCTTCATGACTGCAAGCAATGTGAGGGGATGAATGGTATGAAATTTCTATGTGTTTCATAAAGGACATGCCAGAAGCTATACACTGCTCCATACTAATTTTTGTGAACAATGTCAAGTTATTCAGGGAATTTAAGAACCAAACAGACTGTGAAGAGCTCCAGAAAGATCTCTGTCACCTTCAAAAATGGTCAAAGAAATGGCGGTTCAGATTCAATGTCACGAAGTATAAGAGAATGCACCTAGGTTGTACCAAGAGTAAGGAAGCATATCACATGTCCCAACGGGATGAAGAAACAGCATTAATAGAGACAAAATGTGAAAAGGACCTTGGTGTATATGTTGACAACGAACTGAAGTTCTCAGACCATTGTGAGAAGAAAGAAAGTCAAGCAATTAAACTAGTAGGTCTTATAAGAAGGTTGTTCAGATATCTAGACGGCCCATCCTTCGTAATGCTCTTCAAGAGTAAGGTGCTACCCCATCTGGAATACTGGTCCCCAAGATGTGCTAAAGACTGTCAGTTGATTGAAAATGTCCAAAGGAGGGCCACCAGACTGGTTTCTACACTATGGCACCTCAGTTACCCAGAGAGATTAGAATGCTTGCGCCTAGCTGATATTGTACTACAGAAAGGCAAGGGATGACCTAATTGAAGTATATAAATATCTTAGAGGGCACTACTCAGTCAAGTGATCATACCTGGAGCTGGCAGAAACCCACCCCACAAGGGGTCACAGCTCAAGGTTAAAGAAGCCACAGGTCCAGAAAACTGTGAGGGCAAACCTTTTCAGGGTGAAAATTGTAAACTCTTGGAACAATCTGTCAGAGAGTGCTGTGACAGCACAAGTGTGAGCTCTCTCAAGACCAGACTTGACCAACGCTGGCACAGGTAAAACTACAATCAGGAACCAGTATGTGCCCATTACTTGCCAACATTACAAAACAGAGATGTGATCGACTGCCCAAGCGGCTAATGAGCTGATCAGTGACGAAGAGAATAGAAATAAAAAATAGTAAAAGTAAAAGTCTGGTTCTCATCTCTAAGGTAACTTCTTACATCCCCTCCCCATATCAATCTTGCCCCCACCCCCTCAACTATCCTCCTCTCCACACCTAGAATCATGCTTTTCTTGAACCAATTGGTCTCCTCCACTCTCACCATAAGCCTGAACCACTTCAACCTACCACTACCTAGTTCTATTTATTATTACATGAACTGACACAAGCAAGAGGTACAGTATAATTCACTGGTATTTCATCTGCAGTTATTAATGTACTAGTTCCTCAGTTGGCAAGTCTTGAAAATTTTATTGCAATCAATACATACTGAGTGCTTGATCCACAGCAGCAGATGTAGCCCATTCACCAGGAGCACATGCTCTGTTAAAGGTTGTGGCCACAGCTTCAATTTCGTGCTCCATCTCAGACTTGTGAAGGGTGCAGAGAGGACTGATCACACCAGCACGTTTTAGCTGTAAAATAAAATAAACATTAGCCTCTGTCCTTTTACTAAAGGACTCAGACATTACAAGTGGATAATTCTCCAATAAATATGTACTACTGTATTAATTTTGGTCTATGATTTTCCTTCAAGGACTAGAAGGACTGTTTTATGTCGAATCATTCCTATGCATTTCAAGCAATAAGCATTACCCACCATTTGATATACACAACTTACTGAAGAATTCTACAAACTGGTTTGCTTGTCATATACAGTACATGAAGCAGTGAGAAACAAGGTCTGGAAAAGATGAAGGCTGTCTATATATGCACATACAAGTACCTGTACAATCTTAAAAAATTATCAAGAAACATATTCACCTCCCTTTCGCATGCTTATTACATTTTAGAACCACCTGAAGAGGAGGAATCAGACCTTACCAGTGCCACAGGGATGCGCCAGCCAGTTGTCCTGCCATAGCCAGTGTGACAAGACTTCTTGCCACGAAGATCAACAAGTCTGCTGACTGTAGACCGGCGAACCACCACCACCGCTTTGTATCGATAATCCTCTAAAACCATAGATCAAGGTCATAACAAGAAATAGCTATATCCCTGTACATATATTTGACTGTCCATAATTTCTATGTACAATATAAACTAAGCTTTAGCTAAGTTTAGTCATCAAAAATTTTTGTTTCATATGCTGACATACACCTCTATAATGGTCTCTCCAATTATAGGAAAAAAAATATCTTATCCACCAAGCAGTTTGGGTCTTACACCTCCACCTTACACATGGCTGGGCTTCTACTGAACTTCTACTCATTAAGGTTACTCAATCTCTACAACCAATAAGGTTCTTCCTAGCATCTTACAGACAGCCATATAATCCTTCCAGTATTCTGTACAGGCTCTTTCAGATCTAGAAGAAATGGGTTCATACTGAACCACCTCCCGACTCAGTGAAAGGATCTCAAAAGGAGAGAGTTGATCAAGTTATACTATTAACTATCTGTCATTTCTTAAAACATGGCCCCTGTCAGTCTTTACTCCTGAAAACTCACCCTGAGAAAATTTCGGGTCACGGGCTGATGCAATGATTCGGAGGTTTGAGTTGACACTAAGGTAACTCCCAGGAAGAGGGGTCATATCCACTTGACCGCGCACCACACGCTGTACGCAATCCAGCCTACACAAACAAGAAATGAAGTACACTATTACATACAGACATACACACACTCTAGGCATCTCTTAATTTATGAAGGACCAGTTTATAAACAGTAATGCACTTCATATATACAGTTATTCCCATCCAGTTGTGTTCGTGTTTGTAATATTAATATGTGATATAAAACAAACAAAGAAAACACTTAACTGACAGCATGAAACATCAACAAACAACCTCAGTGATGGCTGGGAGGAAGCCAAAAAAGGGGCAGTGCAGAGGGGAGGACAGGACTCATAAGAAGTGTTTAGTATGAATTTCTCATAGTAAAATGGGACAGCAATCAATCCGCATGGAATGCTGGAGATGAATGTTCTCTACTAGTAAAAGAACTAGAGACATACGGGTGATTACCCCCCCAACTATTAGCATAGCAAACATAGGCTAAGGTCTCTGTTACCTGTAAAATACAACAGGTAATATTCACATTCTCACTTGGCGTATCCACATGCTCACATTACACTTTATATCATTCTTTCATTCCCCAGTGTCTCAATATGACTATACTAAATGTGCAAACTGAAACCCATTTTCTTCTTAACATGACTTTCACATCCTTATCTCATCTTTATTTCTGTAATTGTTTTCTCTGCATCCTATTTACTTCATTCTGTCTCTTCCAACTTATTCTTTCCTCTTGTACCCACAGTCCAGGATACTTCAAACATGTGGCCTTTTAACACAGTTCTCTCTATATATTTCTCCAACTACCTGTTATTTTCATTTCTTCCACTACTCCATGGTTCAAGTCATCACCAATCATTCTGTCGGCTGACACATCTAATCCAAGATACATGAAACTCTATATGTACTCCATTCAATCTCCAGAAAAGCTCACATTTATTTTCTCGGTTTCTTTGATTTCTCATTTTTATCTCTTTACATTTGCTCACATTCACGATCAGCCTTCCACTGGTATACAGTCATCCAAACACATTCATCAACACCTGTGAATATTCTTCTAACTTAAACACACAAATGAGGAATAACGTTGAAGGTTATGTCTCACCTGTCCCTGGCACTGACACAGACAAATTGTTGGCCCACCTCGTTCATCACCTTTACCATGGCTTCACAGTCTGCCATCTCCCCCTCAAGGGCACACACACGAACTGAAAAATTTCAGGAGTCAAATTATTCTCATACCAATAAGTTAAAAAGTCCAAATGTTACTGTCTGTACAAAATATAAAATTTTGTTTTATTTCCTTAATCTTACCAAAAACTGGTTTTAAAGTATACAGTACTGTACATATAATTGGTTATCTTACATGATCATGATTTAATGTACAATTTATTTTCTTCTTCCCTCACCTTCACAACTGTGAAGTTCGTTAAGCTTTGAAAAGTAGTCCCTCTTCATTTTCCTTTCATCTGGAGTGTCTTCACTTAAGGCCTTCAGACCTACAGCTGTGTTCTTAAACAACAAGTCTGACTTGCCCTGATAGCTTCCAAATAGCCTGATAAAAGGATAAAGGGTAAAATATAAATTGAACTTGAGAAGATACATGATGAAAGAGAAATATTCAAATGTGTAATGGAGTTTGAAAAGCATGAAACTGACATGCATGAGGTGGGGTTTAAAATCAAAAGGATGTAATATGATATAGAACTTAAGGGAGCTCAAAATATATAGGTAGAGACCAGAAATACAGAATAAAAAGAAGCTTTGGGGAAACTAAGTCATAAGACTGGCTCTCCCTTGTGGGTCATGCTCTCAACTGCTACAAACACAGTGTACAATGCACATTTTAGTGTTATTACTTCTATTCTCTTCACCACTGATCAGCTCGTTAGCCGCTTGGGTGATCGGTCACGTCTCTGTTACGCACTGTTGGCAAGTACTGGGCATGCACTGGCTCCTGAATGTATCTGATCCTGCTCCAGTGCTTATCAAGTCTCGTCTTGAAAGAGCTTACACTCGGTGCCATCACAACACTCTGGCAGATTGTTCCAAAAGTTTACAACTCTCACTCAGAAAAAATTACCCCTCACAGTTTTCTGGACTTGTGGCTTCTTCAACCTTGAGCTGCGATCCCTTGTGGGGCAAGCATCCACCAGCTCCAGGTAAGGGCACTCAACTGAGTAGTGTCCATTGAGATGCTTATACACCTCAATTAGGTCTCCCCTTGCGCGTCTGTAGTATAAGCTAGGCAAATTCAGGCGCTCAAATCTTTAAGGGTAGCTGAGGTGCTGCAGTGCAGGCACCAGTCTGTCCTTCGGACAGGTATTGTTGGAAAAATAACACTTGGTTTGGAGGAAAGTAATTTTGTTAAGCTGGAGAGTAACTCCAGTAGCTGTGGATCCAAGGGGGTGTTACCATAGACACATGAAATGACACACCTGAGAAGAAAAAAATGTTCTAAGTTACTCAACTGTGTAATTCAGAGGTTCTCTAGAATAATGAATTGAGAAAATTTCACCTCAGGATGGTTCTAAAATACAGTACAGAATTTTGCACCCCCTATCTACCTTTGCCATTTTGTTCTCCAGTTTCCAGGACTTGTCCCGGGGCAACCTCCAACAATTTTTTATGTAATCCTCAGACTTGAAAAGTTTCAAGAAAATCCGGCAATGACAACAGTTTAGTGATGGTACAGTACATATGAAGCCAAGATGAAGAAATGATGTCCTTATATGAAATCTTGTTAACTTACACACTGTAAACTTACAGCAATTAGTGACATTCTAGATTTATGTAGCACAATATTCAATTCTAGGCAAAAGTTATTTTCATCATCAACAAATTTTATTAACAATTTTTTGTTCTTTCATATCAACATTTCAAAAGAATAACAAAAAAAGACAAAAATACTATAAGTTCTATACTGTACTCACTTAAATGTCTCACTTCCTGGGGCACCTCCTTTGAACACTTCTGACACTCCCAGTAACACTTGCCGCACCTGACTCTTTCGGTCTGTTGACATCCTTCCTGATACCACTACCTGATGGGATAAGAGATACTTTACCATTATAGGGTACAGTACTTTATCCTCTTCACTACTGATCGGCCTGTTAGTCCCTTGGGCAGTCATTATGTCTGTTATGCACTGTTAGCAAATACTGGCTCCAGTCTGGTCTTAAATGAGCTCACAGTCAGTGCCACCACAACATTTTCTGGCAGATTATTACAAGAGTTCACAACTCTCATTTCAAAAATATTGTCATGATAATTTCCTGAACTTATGGTTTCTTAAGTTTAACCTGAGGCTGTGACCTCTAGTGGGGTGGACATCCACTAGTTCCAAGTATGAACACTCGACTGAGTACTGTAGTGTCTTCTGAGGTTCTTATCAACTTCTCTTTGCTCACCCCTTGCCCATTTACAGTCAAGGGTGGATCCAGGGGCGTCTTGGGGAACCAAACCCCCTTTTCATCAGAAAATTCCAATACTTTTTCTTTAATGCACTACTGTACTCAGGCATTTTTATAAAGTAAAAAGTAATTACCCCTGCACTACTGTATTGACCTCAGAATATCTCCTAATATCAAGTGCACATGGCTTCAAAATGGCCTCAAAATGCCCACAATGATGGTCAGATATAAAAAAAAATTATAGGGGGATTTACAGCAACCCCCCCCCAAACTCACCAGCTAGGTGGGCTCTCTGTGCTCACTATGTTCTCCCACCCACAACTTCTTTGGATATTCCTTGATCCGCCTCTAATAGTACATGTATAAACTAGATAACTACAGGCATTCTAAGGTCTATTGTCATCATTTTTTAGCATTGCTGGTCTGATAACCAATTAGATTCTCATGAGTGAATTTGTGTGGAAAAATATTCTTTATAACATTCTACTTTTATCCTCTTCACCACTGACCGGCTTGTTAGCCGCTTGGGCGATCAATCACATCTCTGTTATGCACTGTTGGCAAGTACTGGGCATGCATTGGCTACTGAATGTATCTGAACCTGCTCCAGTGCTTGTCAAGTCTGGTCTTGATAGAGCTAACACTCGGTGCCATCACAACACTCTCTGGCAGATTGTTCCAAGAGTTCACAACTCTCACTCCGAAAAAGTTACCCCTCACAGGTTTCTGGGCTTGCAGCTTCTTCAACCTTGAGCTGCGATCCCTTGTCGGTGAGCATCCGCCAGCTCCAGGTAAGGGCACAAGACTGAGTAGTGCCTTTTGAGATGTTTATACACCTCAATTAGGTCCCCCCTTGCCCGTCTGTACTATAAGCTAAGCAATTTCAGGCGCTCTAATCTCTCAGGGTAGCTGAGGTGCCAGAGTGCAGGCACCAGTCTGGTGGCCCTCCTTTGGATATTTTCAATCAACTGACAGTCCCTAGCATATCTCGGGGACCAGATGGGGTGACAGTACTCAAGACAGGGAGGTACCTCACTCTTGAAGATCGTTACAAAGGACAGACAGTTTAGATATCTGAACGACCTTCTTATAAGACCTAATAATTTAGTTGCTGATTCACCTTCTTCTCGCAATGGCCTGAGAACTTCAGCTCGTTGTCAACATACACACCTCGGTCTTTTTCATATTCAGTCTCAATTAATGCAGCTTCTTCGTCTTGTTGGGACATGATATGCCTCTTTACCGTTGGTCCTGTATGTACAAGCTTAAATGAATAATCTACCACTGGATAATACTTGCAATATTTACTAACATTGTATTTCTTGTACATAAGCACAAGTATGTTATTACCTATTTATAGTTATAGAAGACAATATTACTTGGAAAGCAACAAATTACCAATAGTTACTGAACTTTGACATTCTGAGGTACATCAAGAATCAGTAACTACTCTAACTGGAAAGAATTCAATAGACATTAAGCTCAGTAACATAGCAGTGTAGCCCTGACACTTACCTCATGTGCTGGGACCAAGGCCAGGTTACATGTGTGGTATTCAGTGACTGCAGCTGAACCACCATTTGGACACAAGAGTTTGAAGTTCTCAGATTGTAGACCTGTTGCCCAGTCTTCTGTGTTGGAGCCATCTGAAAGCAAAACAGTTAAAGGATGAAGAACTGACCACAGGTATAATTCATATCAACCAAATCAAACAATATATTCAAATAATGGAGAGTTATTGTACAGCACTAGAACATATGAGACGAAATTAGAAACTGCAAGGCACTAGTGCACACATACTAGTTATAAAAATACACACGTTCAAATTAAATTGTTAGTTGGTACAATACAAAACACCACTACAACCTTTAAAGCTAATAACTCATCACTCCCATTAATATTTAAATTGAGGTTATACTATTATACAGCACAAAATTTTCAGATATAAAACAATGAAGAAGTTCTTAGGCATCCATTTTGTGAAGATCATGACAGCTAAGAAAATAATCTCCATTATTGTACTACAGGTGTATCACAATAATATCAGATGATGAGAAGATACAGTAAGTTAATTACTTTTAAACAGCACCAGTTAAGACATCAGAGAAATATACTCAGTTTAATAACAAAAATTCAGAAAGTAATTAATTCTTTGTTAAAGGGTTACAGACTTCCTTTTACAAACTTGTACAACCAGCATGGATTCAAACATGGCAGGTCCTACCTTACCAATCTACTGTCACCTATCTGGTATCTTCAACTAGATAGATATGATGGCTAAAGAGTCATCTTTTTATGTCATCTATTTTGACTCTGCAAAAACTTTTGATACTGTAGCTCAAGGATGCCCCACTTAGAATCTACACAAAATTGGAATCAGAAGACAACCCAGAAAATTTCAAGTGCGATGGTGGTGGATCACTTACTGCATTCACTGATGATACAAATAGGATCGTAGATGAGGTAGAATAAAATAATAACCATAAGTATGCTAGTATGAATTTTTCATACTACAGGTATAATGACAGCATAACAGGCACAATACCTGTACTATCATGATATGTTTTATCTAACTTTAACTGGAATAGAAGCACAAAACTTACAGACACTGAAACAAATGCAGGGAATAAACCTGATACCGTAGATGCCAAATAAAATATTACTGTTAAACATACTAATGCCTCACAACATTTTCAAAGAATTTCTTATATTTTTCCAACTGCAGTGACTCCACCTGGATACTGACCTCAAGACTGGAAGCACAATGTTACACAGAGAGATGAAGCCTTGTTCATCTACCAGTGTGAAGTGCCTGGTTCTAAGTACAATATGTGGTTATTTGTCTTTCTTTTAACCTTATTGGCTCTCAACTAGGAGTGTTCTTACCCCTTGTCTTCTCCCTCACAGTTTTGCTATCCCTTACTTCCCTGCTCTTTGACTATCCCCTTTCATTATCTTCCAGACCAACATCTACCGAAGTCAATAGCCTTTTTTCCTACTTCTGCATCATCACCCATCAATGTTGTAATCCATTTTACGATATATTACCTTGGGTCATGACCTACCAGTATTTTCTGGGACAGTGGTGTGCTTAACAAAGGCCACATCACCACCCCCATGAGTCAGACACCTGAAGGCACCCGTGTAGGAGTAGAAGGGCTCAGAGCTGCTCCTGGCACACTGGTTCTCGCCTTCTCCAATACACAGACGACAGAGACGATCCTTGAAGTTGCCCTGGTTGTTGTATGCCAGATTCTTGGCCCGGGGCACATGAGCCACCGCTAAAGAATGTTGCAGCAGCTATGATATAATTGCAGTGGATTGGATCAATCAGTCTCAGCTCAAGGAGGGTAGCTAATGGCATTTTCCATCCTGTGGGAGGCAAGGACAGAAATTATCAGTTGTTTTTCCCTGCATATTCTAACTCTTTTCCTTCTCCTGTTACTGTTCTTCATTGTATTTTCTCCCCATTCAACTTCTCTTTTCATTTTATTACATTTTCCATCTTCAATCCCCCTTTTAAGTATTTTATTTTCAATTTTTACCCATTTCATTATCTACAATACTAACTTGTCACTTCATAATTAATTTAACTTCTTATCTCTCCACCAGTTTTCTTTTACTCTGGCTTTAAAAAGCTCTTCTCAAACTTACATACAGTGGTCTTCCCTCTTGCTCTTCTCTTTTACCTCCTTCTTTTCTCCCATCTATTCCTTACAACTCTTATTCTTCCAGTCTTTCATCCTTCCCACCTAATTCTTATATTCTTACCCACTTTATTTCTCTTCAGTAGTCACATCATCCCTATCAAGCTCTCCTCACATCTTTCCAGTCCTATCTTACTCCTTCTTCCAAGTTATACCATCAGTCAAAATCCTCTTACATCCCATCCAAGCTCTTAATTACCCTTCTAACCCTCACATGTAACATTATATTACACTATTCCTATAATATCTCTTCTCCTTTTCATTCCAATGCCTCTTCAAATGCCAACTCTTTCCCACATCTTACCTTCACTCCTCTAAATTAACACAGTACGTATTCTGCTGTCTTGCCGAGTCCTGTGTGGCAGGACTTACGGCCCTCTAAGTCACTGAATGATGTGATGTTCGAGTCTGCCCTTACAACTGCAACAGCATAATAGGACGATGTTGGCGATGCAGCATTGATGTTGTACACCTCGCTCAGCACACGCTCAAACCCAAAATCTCTGTGTGGGGAAAGTCAAGTTAAAACAGTGACTTAATGAAGAAAGAAGGGTAGGGAGATGAGAAGAGGAGAGCAGATGGAAGAGAAGAAATACATTAAAAAAATCAAAGAATGAAAGTATAGAGTATTATAAAGTAGAAAAAGGATAAAGTAAAGTACTGTAATATGCAAAAAATAAATAAATAAATAACAGGAGGGAATTATGGAAAGGTGAAACACAAAAAATATCAAAAGGAAAGACTAAATAAGAATAAAAAGGGAGGCAATGTAGATATGATAATGATATTGTAGAAGGGACAGAGAGGACAGGCTAAGACAACTGAGGAGTAAAGAAGACATAAGAAAACAATAAAAGAAGGATCACAAACAACAATTACGCCAGCAAACAAAGAAATAAACATTAGTCAAAGAAAAATTTACAGTAACAGAAGGAATATCAGTGAAATGAATTACCGGACAAATGAGAAGACACATGAGGAGAAGAGAGTGAAGCAAGAGAGAAGATACTGATCAAATAAGTGTTTTAAATCAACAACATACTGATCAAATAAGTGTTTTAAATCAACAAAATACTGATCAAATAAGTGTTTTAAATCAACAACATACTGATCAAATAAGTGTTTTAAATCAACAACACTGTATCTTTGCTACTACTGAACATATATACAGTTACTCCCACTTACTTAATCCAATTCGACTTACAACCACCTCGACATACTGAATCCCCAGTCGTACTAAAATGTTTTCAAATTACGATTTTCGAGTCCCTACAGTAGTGATTGCAGTGTACTGACAAAATTTTTGTTTGTAATTCACTTTAAAATGGCTGGTGCTTAAAAGTGAGAGTTTGTAGTGCTGAGAAGAAAAAGAGACACCCATTTTAGATTTTCTATGTATCATTTAAGCATTTTCGACTTACGACCTGGATTTGGGTCCCGAACCCCGTTGTAAGTCGAGGAGCAACTGCATAATGTTGCATAGTATCAATCTAATATACTCTTGCCACCATACATTTAATCTCAACCTATATCACACACAAACTGTACATAACCAGTCTTTACAAATTCAACCACACCCACTTCATCCTCATAGTTGCTTCTACTGTACATCTAAAGTGCCAAATTTAGAAATAAAACTGTCATATGAAATGTTTTACTCTCTGCCAATCTTCCTGTTATTCATTTATACAATGTATTACATTCCTAGCCTCCTCCCTATTCCTCCTTTCCCTCTTATTTCCTTCCCCATTCCACCTCCTCTTTCCTTCCAGTCTCCTTTTCTTATACAATCCCCTTTTCTATATTAAACTATCTCTCCATCAAATCATATATAAAATATCTGTACTCTCTACTGTATTCTTTCATTGTGGAAACAGTCTCAGCTGACTGAAAAAATTCATTCCAAAGAAAATATTTTTGACTATATTCTGAAAACTACAGTACTGCACAGTGCTTGATCATAACTTACATTTGAGTATCTACCAGCACACAAGAAGTTTTATATTTTTCAATACAGGGGTAATTTCATTCATACAAGGGTGTACCCTTACATGGGACTAGCAAAACAGTGGTACAGTATATATACTCATATATACAGTATTACAGTGCTGTATAGCTACCAGTAATAGCAAAAAAAAATTTTCAGAGAGAGAGGGGGGGGGGCGGTAGGCACTAGTGAAAGAAATCCTATGCCAAGAAAAAACATAGGCCACCACTCAAATTTCAAAATAACCATTATAATGACATTTTTACATTCACAACCTTCAAATGGATAAAATAACACAGTAATGAAGTATAGAAATCAAAAGTTACTGCTACTCACTGAGTCACTTGGTAGACATCTCCACCATCCAGTGCGATAACATCAGCATTGCCAAAATATATTTCTGTGGTGGGAGACGGCAGGCTCCATCAAGCAGCCCACACCTATACCTGCATCTGTGCCATATGCCCGCGATGCTATCTGAAGGTCACGACACTTTTCAAGCTCTGCCTCATTTTGAACACAGAAGCGCACTGGTTTCTTGGGCTGAGTCACATTAAACTTGTATCCAGCTGCAGGAACAGTAGAAAACTCAATCATATGAAGCTTATTAGCATAGCTAAGCAAGACATTCAACATTACAGTTCAAAGTCAAAAGCTGCAAAAAATATCATATAAATACTGTACAGAATATTTAGTTTGTCGTAAAATCTATAGATTAAGACTGTTAAATCACTCTTGTATGAGCATAAAGATCAAATGCAATTTGTGATTCTAAATCATGAATGAAAATAACAAATTAACAGGTTAATTTTTAATCACCACTAAAAAATGCATAACTGTATGACTTTTAGTCAAATTCAATGTTCTATGGAGTACCTTGGTTTCTTGTCATGATCATTACACTCTTATAGATCTTCAAGCATAACACTCATACAGTATCAATCCAAACTCATGATAAAGTTCAATTCTTTTCAATGAGAGAACTGCCTCTTTACTACTGGCATGATCTAGGTGCTTTCTCTTGCATATCATAATGTTGAATCTCAGGTGCCATTCCACTGACCACTCCTAAAGCATTCAGTTCTTAATTTCCCTGATTATCTTAGTGTCACCTGCAAGAATGGCATGCACAACTCAGGCAGAGAGGTAACAAAAGACAGTGCCTGACTCTTCTGCTGCATTAAATAATAATGGACATTTGAACACAAATGTGTTACCTTTCTGTATTTACTTAATCTAACTGTATGTATTTTTAAAAGTTGATCTCAGAAGATAGATCAGTTTTGGTTGAAGATTCTGGGGTTGATCACAGACCAGCATGACATGATTCTTGAAGTTACTACCTACTTGAGGTAGCAACTTTGATTCCACTAGGTTGTAGGATGGCTTGATATTTGGAAGAAAAAAGTGATAAAATTAACACCTCAACTCTTAATCAAAATGACTTACCTTGTTTAATGATATTGGAAGGTGTCAGGATGTTCCCAATAGCTGTGAAATGAGTGCCACGGGGAAGACCCAACACCTCTCTCACAGCTTTGACTTGTGAAGTTAAAGATTTCACCCATATCATCCGTCGACTCCTGTCATCAAAAGTTGCCAGAATATAATGCAAAGTGAAAAAATACTTGTAATTCTGGTTTCAAGTTACCATATGCAAGATCAGAATCATTCAATGGGAAATTGTTTGTTTTTTACTCTCAGTCATTTTTATAAAGAATATTATACTTCAACCAATACAGTACAGAAAACCTTTAAGTTCATGAAAGAATTTTCTTGTTTCCCTTGGTTGTCAAAATACTCTAACTAAAAATTTAACTGCTAATTCTTTTTTCTTCCTTCCTTACTAACATGTCTATCTTCTTTGCACTAAACTACTCCATACCCTTCATTCCCAACTACAGTACTGTGCTGTACATTACTCACGTCTTCTACATCTTATACTAACACAGTACAGTTCACTAAAATACTTATAAACCCCCTTCCTCCTCTTTTCTCAATTACTTTATTTTGCTTTACATCAGTATTGATTTGTATAAGGACCAACAAAAAGAGTGAAGGGATCTTTTGCCATTCCAAAATATTAATTAACAAAAAAATCCATTGCATTTTCAGAATAAAGACTTAGGGTTTAAATTTTTTTGATAAACAGATGGATGGCCTAACAACATTCTCTTATTGTTGGGCTTAATTTAAATAACAAATGTTCCATGACTGACACTCAAAGAGGACATCACTGAGTACTTGTGTTATATTGCTCCTTCTAAACAAGTCATCTGTTGGTGTATTTGGTCAATGCTCTGGAAAACATAACTACATAAAATCCCTACAAGTTCTTTAAACAGACCTTGTACAGTACAATACTGATGTGTTTACCTTTTGGTCTATCCTCTCCTCTATAATGTTTCTCCCTTTCACTAATTCTCTAAAACCTTCTTCCTTCAGTCTTCACCTCATACTAAACCCTGTTTCCTCTTATTACGTATACCCCATCCTACATTGGTTTAGACTTGTCTCCCAACCACTTACAAGCATTCATTATCTTCACAGGTGGGAGAGGAGAACTGGTAGTGGCCGCTCACCCCAGTCACAAGGTTCACCATCACCAGTGGCTCGGCCTCCTAAAGGCATGATGGTCCCATTGCCAATGCGACAAAAATGTGATAATTTCTCCACTTCAGGATTCTGGTAGGAAAAAATAATCAAGTAACCTTTCATTTAAAATTTGAATATAAACTATTCGAGTATGCAAAATGTTCTCATGAAGATGAAAATAGTTCACTGAACAGTTATCTGGTATGTTTCAAATTTTGTATAGAAGAAAAGCTGTCCTTTACCTCAAGAATACTGTACTATACCCCTACATTCACCCATGGAATTACTGTAATGTTTAAACAGTTTGGATTCTCTTCACGCACAGAGAAATGCAAACAAGGCTTCTTTTGGCAAAGAGGATAAAAGGATAAGTAAAACATGCAAATTGAGCCAACCAACCCCAATATAGCCTACCTACCCAGACCTAACTTAACTAAAAAAGTATTTTAAGATTGTTAGGTTAAGTGAGTTCAGTTAGGACTGGTTGGTTCATTCTGTTAATAATCGGTATAATGATGCAGCCTGATGGTCGCCATCTGAATAAGAACAGCTCGTATAAAAGAACTTTAACTCAGTACAGTATTGAATAATATTATTTATTTGGGTAATGAAATGTAAGAAAAAAAAAATAAGAGCATTGAAAAAAGTAATTGACAATGAATTTTGTCCTTGAAATAATAAGGGCTGTCCCTGATTTACAAGGATCTGGTTTAAGAAAATCTGAAGGTATGAAAATACGTATACATTTTTCCCATGTTTTGATTCATGTTGGAAAAATTCAGTTACAAAATTTTTCTTATTCTTTTCATATTTTTGGGGCAGTATTAAAAGATAATGAGGTGCTGACATAGGCATCTCAGGGCTTCCTGCACCAGACCTGGTAAGTTTATAAAGACAATCTAAAAACAACCTACAATATTGTACAGTACTGTATTAAGAGTGGTTAACTAGTAGTATCTTCTGTGTGCTCTGCTGCATGTAATGTAATACTGTATTTCACTTACTATGTTTATTATTGGCTTATAATCATTATGTACAGGACACCAAAAAATTTCATCAATAACATGTTTTCTAATACCCTGTATCTTAAGGACATTGTTCTTTTTTTGTGTGTGTGTGATTTTAGGAACGTACCAGGAATCTCAGCTTTTATAATGGGAGTCTATGGGTACTGTATATGGGATGAAATACAGTATACAAGAAGTAAATTTACAAATGGTTCAAAAACTGAATTCTTTTGTAAACTGGGGACTGCCTGTATTATATACATATATCCTTCATTTAACCACCATTCACTTAATGATAATTCGGTTTAGCAATACTGTACGTATAATATAAAATTTTTAACACCCTTGTTTCACGATGGCCAATTTTCGGTTTAGTGATGTTTGACTCACTAGGAAAAATTTGGGAGGAAAGTTGGAAAACTGATGATTCTGTGCTCCAAGTGCACATTATTACAATACAGTAAGTCCTCGCTTAACATCGTGGTTCCGTTCCTGAAAACCACAACGTTAACAAAGGCAATGTTACGGAATCAATTTTTCCCCATAAGAAATAGATAAAATACAGGAGTTACGTTCCTGAGCCTCCTTTCCCCCATGAAATACATTGCATATACAGTACAGAAATTCAATGAATTTTATGGAAAATAATATATATATAAATAAACTACCTTTTTATATTGTACTCACTGATGGATGGAGGTGGTGGAGCAAGTGTGTGGTGGGTAGTGGAGTGGAGGAGGAGGGTGGCGAGTCACTGAGACCAGGCAAGTGGCTCCTCCTCCCGGTATAAAACCTCCATTTTCATAGCAAAGCTAATGGTCTATTGCTGTTTTTCGAATTGTTAATAGTACGTACATTACAGTATTAGAGCAAAACACTTAAACACGCACGAGCGCTGTGGAAGCTACGTATGTAACAAAGACTGACACCGCTTGGGGACGCCAGGACATTCCACGAGTAAGAGGTAGCGCGCCAAGACGAGAAAAGGTGATGCACTGTAAAAAGTAGTCCGTGACAACACTAAAAACGACGTTATATTAAGTCATCAGGACGTTAACCAAATTACTGGTAGCTATAGAGTAGTGACGTTATAACGAAATAACTTTATTGGGGGCAAAATTAAACGAGGACTTACTGTACTGTACTGTATAATTTAGTGGCTTCGAAATAAAGAACACATAACATAAAACTAGAGTATAAAATAATAAACATAAAGAGCATGAGAGTGCATGTGTGGGAAGTGAACATACAGTACATACAGTATTGAGGCAGTGAGCTGTAACTGTGGCCAGCCGCATACCCCCCCCCCATGTGACATCACGGCACACAGGCAATAGTCATACATGTCTCTTGAGTCAGTTTGTTGACTGCCTGGCTGAACTTTGTCCCCTGTATACTGTACCAGTAAAAGTGAGGAATAAATAAAACAAAAGTAAAATACTGAGTTGCCATTTGGCAATCGTTTAAGGGACATGAGACAGAGAACAGCTGAGATATCCCTCACGCCACTCCTCCCTCCACTCACCCTTTATGCTCCCCCATCCTCTGCTCTGTCGGCTAACTTCTATGCACCAGAAAACAAAGAAATGTTTATCCCCTTTGTGTTTTTGACATTATGATATATTTTTTTGCACAGTACTGTATCTATGAGCAAATGTGTGTGCATGTAACAGTAAAAAAAAAAAAAAAATTACGAAGTTAACAATAACATAGCTCACAACTCAGCCTTGCCCACTCCGAGTGATATTGGGTGGCGAGTCAGCTACTCAGTTACTGTATATGCCATTTCTACGGATATTTTTTCTTTTATCCCTTGTTTAGGATATTATTCCTCGTTATACCCCATTTAGCTTATCATTTTACTTAACGATGGATTTTTAGGAATGCATCCCCAATCATCAAACAAGAGATACCTGTACTGAGAAAGACCTTGATCTCTGGCAACCATATTTCAAGTGTGGTGACAGTTGGATTCCCAGGAAGAAAACCACAGTGGTGAGTATGGGCTATTGTCGAGTTAAGGATCAACTTATGTAACACATGTCTTTAAAATATCTAGTTTAGTGCACAAAAAATGTAAAATAATACTATTTTTGACACTATTGTACCTGCCAAAATAAACTGTAACTTAAACCTGGCAGTTTTTATTTTGAGCTGGTTCTATCACCTTCAATAAACCTTAATTACCTGTGACCTGGCTTTGAGGAAGTCCACATCAGAGACGAACGCAGCATCAGCAACACCATCAAGAAGGCACTGTATGGCCTCTTTGAGCCAGCATAAGGATCTGAAGCATCACAGTTCTGACGAAGACATATACTACACAGCTTAGGGTGCTTTTGCTCTGTTGGATGAGATCAAGGAAGAATTAGCTGTTGCTGGTACAGTAAAGCATGTGAATTCATGAGTAAACAAAATAAAGGTAGAAAAGGCGATTATTGTACAACAAGTAAGATTGTGATACGATGCCTCTGGGTTTAAAGTGTACCGGTGTCCCTTACTTTAAACAAGGGTTTTGTTCCAAAAAAAATTTACGGAGTAATTTCTCATAATGAGAGCATTCATTACATGTATTAATCCACCCACCCACCCATTCCCAAAAGCAAACACTTTCATAACAAATCCAATAAAACTCCCTGAATAATAATCTTCACGCATATAAAACACATTAAACCAAATAAAATAAGTTACTTTCTTGATGCTCTGATCCCCATCTTCATTATCCCAGCTGTGGAGAGAGGACTTCTTTTTTTGTTCTTATATTTGCCAAGAGAGATGGTAAGTGCATCACTGAGATTTTTTTTTTTTCGGAATTCTTCTTAATGGTATGTACTGTGCTCTCATTAGGGCCAAACACACAACCAAGTGCAGACAAGCAGACAACCCTCCTCCCTTGCTTCAGTTTACTTCAATATTTCTAACTTTGTTTCTAATGTTAAGTGGTCCTCTTTTCTTGGGCATGAATATCGGGGTTAGGAGATGAACTGTAGGGACACTTACACGACATTGTACTAGTCAACAGTACTGTAATGGCAAATTTATATACTGTACAGTGCTTCCATATGAAATGAGAGTAGCATAGGTTTACACACAACAATGGACAATACATTGCTGAATGTGGGAGCAGACTACAGTACAGGTAATTGCCTCTACCCTGATGTGGCTACATACACACACACTGCTCCACATGCTTGCACCAAGCCTACACTTTCCAACTGCAAAGCAGAGTCAAAACACACACCTACACTGATTGCATTAGCTTAGCACATCCAATCTGGCCAGTTGCAAAATTGCAAGTTTTTCTTGTGCAAAGTGGGTTGTAACAGAAGGCATATAAAGTGATTGACACCTGCAGTCATGTGTTTGTGTGTGTCAATGTCCACATGCAAGAGATCCTAAGAGATTGTGCTTGGCCTTGTAAGTAGTGTGTTCATGTATATGTAATAACTGTGGTGCTTATTTTGACTCAACAAAAGTTCCTTAGATTCAGATTGGTAGGTAATTTTCGACTACCCCAGGAGTAGTGACCCTGCCTAGCCAGCTAAGAGGGACCTTGGAAATCCTACATATAATGCCCGGTTCCCGCTCTGTAAAAGTAGGGTGACGATAAGAAGGGCATCTAGCCATATAACCTGATGCAAATTGTCTGATGGCAAAAGGGACACCATGCCATCCGGGAATTATGGCTAACCCACACAAGCATGGAAAATGGCTGTAAAATGGTCATGAAGAGAAATTTATTGGATGTCATTCAACATTTTTCCCCTATGCCTACATCTACTACAGTGTACAAGTAATTTCTTTGGACAGATGCATAACATAGCTACAGTACACATTGGGACCCGAGAAGAAGTAGAGAGAGTGAAGGCTCTAATGGAAGTCTACTCACTGAGCTGCATATCAGTGAAGGGGTCAGGAGACCAGGCTCCAGGAATACAGGCTCTGTCCCAGGCATTACCAAGTGCTTCAATATGTCTCTGTAGGTGAATAAGGAAAATTTGATCAAGCAGCTACAGGTATTTTGTTTTCATGAATTCCTACCAATTTTTTTTTATTTAATATATCTACATTCTATTCATTTACGAATTAAGTGTTTAAATGTTTGATTCTTTGTTTTCTCTCTTTATACAGATTTTTAATGCTGTTTTCGAAGCTTCTTCCTTTTCATGTGCAACAATATGAAATATGATTAATCAAAAACAAGCTTGTTACAATGTTGTTAACTTATAACCAGTAACTTACAGTCTTCTGAACTAAACTTATGATTCAATATACTGTAGTTTTTTAAAACCATCATACTGATAATCTTTACCAGATATGAATATTATAATGCACAGAAGTGGCTCTACATACCTTAAATACATTAGACTTATCCCTAATTCTTCCCACATATATTAAAACAATTTTCCTACAGGTACAAAATGTTTCCTACACAAAGCAAAAAAAAAAAAACTTTCATTAACAAAGAATCTCATCTTTTTCTAAGGATGTCTAATATGTTATGCACCTTATAAAATTGATTCTTTTTCCTTTGTCAGGTAAGGGATTCATAACATCCCTATTTAGAAAGATTGGGCGAAGGACCACTCAAATGTACACTAAGGTCTCCGAACTTCACACTCTCAATTTCTTACTCTGGGATCACCTTTATGGTTCATGGTAGATGAACCATGAAGGTGATCCCAGAGGAAGAAAACATGAGGTGTGAGGTCTTGAGACCTTGGTGGGCCTCATCACCCAATCTTCGTTGATTTGTTATGACAAGCGCCTCAAAAAAAAAAAAGGAAAAAAGAATAGAACAATAATTTACCTATGGTACACAACCAATGTGACAACCTGTTTTTGTCTGAAAAAAAAAACTGCACTCTATATCTAATTATGTTCTCAACTACAAATTGACCTATTATTCATATGGATAATGTGTCTTGCTGCTAAGTAACAGAAGCTCCTTGATGACAGAAGGCTCTTCCAGGGAATGACTATCAATGGCACATCTCTTCTCAGAAATAAAATAAGAATTTCTATCCCTTACATATACCATTTTGACATGTTCTAATTACCCTAGACTAAGTCATGATGTGTCCTAACCTCAATGTCAGGGAGGAATTCATCAGAAGTACTGGTGACAGGGCGGTACAGAGCACGGGGATAGTAACGTTGGAGGTTGATCCCTGGGTGACACACACTCCTGATGTTTGGGTTGGAGGCATTATGCACCAAAAGGTAAACACTCCTCACATCCTTGCCAGTCACTGTGGGCATAAGAAGAGTCAACTAGAGATGGATGGTTCTTTAAAGGTATAATGATGGCAGTAGAGCTTATAGCAGCAGTAGACGGTAACAAAGTACAGTACAGTAACTTTGTTTCCATTAACCTGTGTAACACACACACACACACACACACACACACACACACACACTGTTTACCTCTCGTTTATAGAAAGAAAGGTATTACACGGACTATGCTCGTAGTGGTGGAGAAAAACATAATGGTGTTAATGGGTATGAGAAGGATGGTTGTGAAAACTCCCATTAGGGAAAATCGAGTGGCATGGGACAATAAAAATGGACTGCAGGGGGAAATGGAGGGGTTTGAGAAGCTATGCCTTTTATGGTATAGTAATTATGTTGACGGGGTAGGATACTAATGAGGTGACGTAGAGGGAATTAAACACTGGTGGGGTTGTGGAGGAGAGATGAGACATTATTGGAGTTTAGGACAATAAGACGTTGACAGGTGCTGAGGCGAGAATAAGACGCTGATGGGATGGTAGAGTAAGACATTGATGGGGTGGTAGAGTAAGACATTGGTGGGGTGGTAGAGTAAGACACTGATGGGGTGGTAGAGTAAGACATTGATGGGGTGGTAGAGTAAGACACTGATGGGTGGTAGAGTAAGACATTGGTGGGGTGGTAGAGTAAGACAGGTGGTAGAGTACATTGGTGGGTGGTAGAGAAGACATTGGTGGGGTGGTGATTAAGACATTGATGGGGTGTAGAGTAAGACATTGATGGGGTGGTAGAGTAAGACATTGATGGAGTGGTGGAGTAAGACATTGATGGTGGTAGAGTAAGACATTGGTGGGGTGGTGGAGTAAGACATTGATGGTGTGGTAGAGTAAGACATTGGTGGGTGGTGGAGTAAGACATAGGGGTGGTAGAGTAAGACATTGATGGGGTGGTAGAGAAGACATTGATGGGGTGGTAGAGTAAGACATTGATGGGGTGGTAGAGAAAGACATTGATGGAGTGGTGGAGTAAGACATTGATGGGGTGGTAGAGTAAGACACTGATGGGGTGGTAATGTGTCATGGTGGGGTGGTAGAGTAAGACATTGGTGGGGGTGGGTGGAGTAAGACATTGGTGGTAGAGTAAGACATTGGGGTGGTAGAGTAAGACACTGTGGGAGTAGAGTAAGACATTGATGGGGTGGTGAGTAGACACTGGTGGGGTGGTAAAGTAAGACAGGGGTGGTAGAGTGTCATTGGTGGGGTGGTAGAGTAAGACATTGGTGGGTGGTAGAGTAAGACATTGATGGGTGGTAGAGTAAGACATTGGTGGGTGGTAGAGAAGACATTGATGGGGTGGTAGAGTAAGACATTGGTGGTAGAGTAAGACATTGGTGGGGTGGTAGAGTAAGACATTATGGGGTGGTAGAGTAAGACATTGGTGGGGGTGGTAGATGACATTGATGGGGTGTAGAGTAAGACATTGATGGGTGGTAGAGTAAGACATAGGGGTGGTAGAGTAAGACATTGATGGGGTGGTAGAGTAAGACATTGATGGGGTGTAGAGTAAGACATTGGTGGGGTGGTAGAGTAAGACATTGGTGGGTGGTAGAGTAAGAACATTGATGGGTGGTAGAGTAAGACATTGATGGGGTGGTAGAGGTAAGACATAGGTGGTAGAGTAAGACATTGATGGGTGGTAGGAGTAAGACATTGATGGGGTGGTAGAGAAGACATTGGTGGGGTGGTGGAGTAAGACATTGATGGGGTGGTAGAGTAAGACATTGATGGGGTGGTAGAGTAAGACATTGTGGGGTGGTAGGAGTAAGACATTGATGGGTGGTAGAGTAAGACATTGATGGGGTGGTAGAATAAGACATTGGTGGGGTGGTAGAGTAAGACATATGGGTGGTAGAGTAAGACATTGTGGGGTGGTAGAGTAAGACATTGATGGGTGGTAAAGACATTGATGGGGTGGTAGAGTAAGACATTGATGGGTGGTAGAGTAATATTGGTGGGTGGTAGAGTAAGACATTATGGGGTGGTGAGTAAGACAGGTGGTAGAGTAAGACATTGATGGGGTGGTAGAGTAAGACATTGATGGGGTGGGAGAGAGACAGGGGTGGTAGAGTAAGACATTGATGGGGTGGTAGAGTAAAAACATTGTGGGTGGTAGAGTAAGACATTGATGGGGTGGTAAAAAGACATTGATGGGGTGGTAGAGTAAGACATTGGTGGGTGGTAGAGAAGACATTGATGGGGTGGTAGAGTAAAACATTGGTGGGGTGGTAGAGTGACATTGATGGGGTGGTATAAGACATTGTGGTTGGTAGAGTAAGACATTGATGGGGTGGTAGAGTAAGACATTGATGGGGTAGAGTAAGACATTGATGGGGTGGTAGAGTAAGACATTGGTGGGGTGGTAGAGTAAGACATTGATGGGTGGTAGAGTAAGACATTGGTGGTAGAGTAAGACATTGATGGGGTGGTAGAGTAAGACATTGATGGGGTGGTAGAGTAAGACATTGGTGGGTGGTAGAGTAAGACATTGATGGGTGGTAGAGTAAGACATTGGTGGGTGGTAGAGTAAGACATTGATGGGTGGTAAAAGACATTGATGGGGTGGTAGAGTAAGACATTGATGGGGTGGTAGAGTAAGACATTGGTGGGTTGGAGAAGACATTGATGGGGTGGTAGAGTAAGACATTGATGGGGTGGTAGAGTAAGACATTGGTGGGGGTGGGAGAGAGAGAGAGAGAGAGAGAGAGAGAGAGAGAGAGAGAGAGAGAGAGAGAGAGAGAGAGAGAGAGAGAGAGAGAGAGAGAGAGAGAGAGAGAGAGGGGAGAGAGAGAGAGAGAGAGAGAGAGGGTGGTAGAGTAAGACATTGGTGAGGTGGTAGAGAGAGAGAGAGTAAGACAATGGTGGGGTGGGTAGAGAGGAGAGAGAGAGAGAGAGAGAGAGAGAGAGAGAGAGAGAGAGAGAGAGAGAGAGACACTGATGGGGTGGTAGAGTAAGACATTGATGAGGTGGTAGAGAGAGAATAAGACATTGATGGGTGGTGGGAGAGAGAGAGAATAAGACATTGATGGGGTGGTAGAGGGAGAGTAAGACATATGGGATGATAGAGAGAGAGAGAGAGAATAAGACATTGATGGGGTGGTAGAGAGAGAGAAGACATTGATGGGGTGGTAGAGGAGAGTAAGACATTGATGGGGTGGTAGAGAGAGCAAGACATTGATGGATGGTAGAGAGAGAGAATAAGACATTGATGGGGTGGTAGAGAGAGATAAGACATTGATGACGGGTAGAGAGAGTAAGACATTGATGGGGTGGTAGAGAGAGAGTAAGACATTGATGGCGTGGTAGAGAGAGAGTAAGACATTGATGACGTGGGCAGAGAGAGAGTAAGACATTGATGGGGTGGTAGAGGAGAGTAAGACATTGATGGGGTGGTAGAGGAGAGTAAGACATTGATGGGGTGGTAGAGGGAGAGTAAGACATTGATGGGGTGGTAGAGAGAGAGTAAGACATTGATGGGTGGTAGAGGGAGAGTAAGACATTGATGGGGCAGTAGAGGGAGAAAAAATAAGACATTGATGGGGTGGTAGAGGGAGAGTAAGACATTGATGGCGTGGTAGAGAGAGAGTAAGACATTGATGGGTGTTCGTGTTCTGGGTAATAAGTTCAATATACAGGAGCGAACACAAACACCTGTATAAATTTTGTAGGTTCGATTTACTGGATAAGAGATATGTACACAAGGGGAGTAGCGCTCCTCAACCTGTCTGCTGGTCAACTGCTCTATAGACGACGTATGGCAAGTGAGACATTAACAGCTTCCATATGTTGCCAGGCACATTAATTAAGCATGTGGGACATGGTAATTACATTGCCACACGCTGCTAGCTAGGCTGAATAAATGATATATATAAATGGAGCACATACATAATATACATACATAATTTATAATACAGCATACATAATATACATACATAATTTTATAAGCATAATATACATACAATGGGTGGTAGAGAGAGAGTAAGACACTGATGGGGGTGTGATAGAGAGAGAGTAAGACACTGATGGGGTGGTAGAGGGAGAGTAAGACATTGATGGGGTGATAGAGAGAGAGTAAGACACTGATGGGGTGGTAGAGAGAGAGTAAGACACTGATGGGAGTGGGAAAAAATAAGACATTGATGGGTGGTAGAGAGTAAGACACTGATGGGTGTGGGTGGGTTGATGGGATAGAGAGAGAATAAGACAATGATGGGGTGGTAGAGGGAGAGTAAGACATTGATGGGGCAGTAGAGGGAGAAAAAATAAGACATTGATGGGGTGGTAGAGGGAGAGTAAGACATTGATGGGGTGGTAGAGAGAGAGAGAGAGAGAGAGTCAGACATTGATACTCACATAGCTGAATGACTGCCTGGAATTTGCCACTGAACGAATCAGCCGCCACATTGAGATCCTCTGCTCCCGCTAAGCCGAAGTCAGCCTCGTGGTCCCTCATCTTCTTCAGGCAGTCCACCCTGAGGCACATACTTGGGTTACTGGGATGTACCAGAGATTACCGAAGAAGGTTTTAGGAGTTACTGGGTAGTCCGTGTGGTTATAGAGGACATGCTGGGGTTAAGGTTAAGGGGGTTACTGGGTACTATAGGTACTGGGGGTGCATTGAGTTATAGAGGAAGTACTAGGAGGGTTAAAGGGGTAGGTACTATGGGTTACCAGGGAAGTACTTAAGGTATTGGGGTTACTCAGGAGGTACGGAGGAAATATTGAAGATATACCGTAGTTAATTAATGAGGTTTACTTCAAGTTACTGGAAGAGGTTACAGGGGTGTATTCTGAGTTACTGGGAGTTATTAGAAATGGTAATGGAGGTTACTAGGGAGGCACAGTATTAGGGATTACTTGGGAATACTTTTACTATACTTTATTCTCTTTGCCACTGATCAGCATGTTAGCCGGTCATGTCTCTGTTAAGCAGTGTTAGAAAGTACTGGCTGCAGTATGTATCTGCACCTGCGCCAGTGTTTGTTAAGTTTAGTCTTGAATGATCTCACACATTCCTCTCTGGCAGATTGTTCCACTGTACCTGACGTTATTGGAAAGACACTCTAGGATATACTTCGGGACATACTGGGTACCGTAATGAAGGTTACTTGGAGATTTACTACAGGTTACTGAAAAGCTACTGGGGGTTACTGGGTGTCGTACTAGAGGTCACTCGGAAGGTACTAGAGATTACTGAAGAGACACTGGGCATTACTGGGAGGTACTAGAAGTAAACAGGGAAAACAGTGGGAGTTAATGGGAAAGAAAGTAGGGGTTAATACGGAGGGAACAAGGAATTAATAAGGAAGGGACGGAGAGAGAGAGAGAGAGAGAGAGAGAGAGAGAGAGAGAGAGAGAGAGAGAGAGAGAGAGAGAGAGTTTGTTCCCCAGTGCGCCTCACTACAACATCCTCATCAGCTTACGTGAAGCCAAGGACGCTCCAACATCCCCTCCCCCCGTCCTCGAGGGACCCCACAACACACATCTCCCAAGCCCACGACTACCAAGGTAGGGCCCCTACCCACCCACCCCCAGCCCCACCACGTAGTTGTATTTGTTTGTTTAAGCTGTAACGAGGCTATGTACTGAATGCGAGAAGGTCGGTAAAATAAGTCTGTTATATGACTGCTATTATAATACTATACTGTAGTATCATCGTTTTCAAAAGATTCATAATAATTGTTAGTAAGGTTCTGTATCCTGGTGCGGTCATTAGAATAAAAAAAAAAGTAGACGAGCAGGTCCCACCTAATATGTACTTCCAGGCGGTGTCACTAGGCTGATTCCTATTCTTTGGGCACTAAGTGGAATATCTCAGACGATTAAACATCTTTGGCAAGCAAATTTCTTCATAAACACTTCATTAACACACGAGATTCCCCTCAAAATAAAAGAGACCCCCAAAAAAAAACCTACACACCTGGGGATACGCTCGCAGCCTCGACAAGTAAAAAAAAAATCTATCAAACATTTTAAAAATAAACTGGTGATCCTTAGAACAACCTTCCATCCAGTATCAATAAGTCAAGAAATGCAGAAAGCTTACGAAATGGTATGATGCACACATAAGAGAGGTGCAACACACACACACACACACACACACACACACACACACACACACACACACACACTGTATATAAAAAAATTACATACCACAAAATTTTTCACATATACGAGTACTGTACATGTTATAACTGTCATAAGTCTGCAATACACCTCTCACACAATATACAGTAGCACAAATGTCACATTTATCTCCTATGTATCATAATGACTATATGTCATTTACCACACACATATGTCTCAACACCACACGTCATATTTACCACATAATTATTGAATTTAGATAGTTACCACGTACAAGTCACATATTGTATCTACAGTACCTGATGAGTCAAAGATCTATCACCACACGAGTCATAATTAACATGAGTCACATATCCAGCATTTCAAAGTCCTACAATACAAGTCATATCTATCACACATGAGACCAGTATGGGGTGTAATTACCTGTCTCTCACGGGTGTGCAGGTCAGCAGCCCTCCAGACACCTGATTCAGCCGGGAGCAGTCCACACCTTCCGCTACACATATCCGTCCTGTGTGATCAGATAGTAGAATAACTATACTAAATTGTTCATACACACCACTCATGATAAATGTGTTCCACATTAAAATTTAAGTTAGATGACGCATGCGCACAAGACTGTCCGGTTTAGCATACGACAGTGACTGCACAATGTACGCTTATGTGGACGATGACTAAAGGTTAGATAACCCCCTGTTGGCTGATCAGCTAATTACTGAGAGACAAGTTGCATTAAAAACAAAACAATAAATAAATAAAATCCACACCTGGAAGATTGGAGAAAGAGGCCGGTTGAGCATAGCCGCTCCACAGCATCACCACCAATATCGACACCGCCCATTGTTCTCTGCTTGCTGTCATGGTCTTTAGGATAACTGAAAAAATTAAATTTACAAATAGTTCATAAAAAAATGTGTGGGTACTATAATTTTCTCACAGGATCTGGGCAATTAATGTGCTGGAACCTTAATGATAGACGATAAATATTCTTAGAATATTCGAAATGAATCCAGTAACTTCAATAAAATAATTATACGGTACTTGACAATTATCCCAAACAGAAAACACAAAACACCCAAATATACTCCTATAAAGCAGACTGCAACATCACATCTTTGTCAGTTCTTACACATCTTCTCTACTGTATACAGTAAGGGTGCCAATTATATCCTAACCTGCATACCAATTACACTTTAAGTTCCTATGTACCATATCGTTGGTTTAATGAAAGACAAAATGACGAACTTGACCACGTACAGATGGTGCTTCAAGTCGGATGAGTAATTGGCACAAAAATTTTCCTCTCAGAAACCATTACATTCAATTAAAAATATAACGAGGGACGTAACGCTGAAAATTATTTCCGTGACTAAAATACTTATCTTACAATATTTTTCTTATACAAAGAATAATTTATCTTACCTAAAGAACATTTTTAATCCGCGGGGAACAACCATGTTCACAAATAGTTGATCAGTATATACATTGCACCATTTAAACAAACCAGCTGAATATGCTGCTTATTGTTTGGCTTTCAGTCATCTTTCAGTCACTCACCTGTGGCGTCCCCCAAGGCACCAAGATGGGACCACTCTGCTTCCTTATGCTCATCAATGATGCCCTAAGAGAAACCCCTGCTCGCTGGAAATATGTCGACGACTCCACCATTGGGATCAGCGTCAACAATTCTGCTCCCAACTATACCGCCCTTCAGGATTTATTGAACAGTCTCCAAAAGTGGGCCACCAACAACCATGTCACCATCAACCATACCAAGACCATGGTTATGCACATCAACCTCTCCTCCGACATTGTCCCACCTCATTTCCATTACTCTAGGTCCGAACACACTCCAGGTTGTAGATTCCACGAAGCTCCTCGGCGTCACCATAGAAAACAAACTAAATTGGAAACCACACGTCAGTGAAGTTGTCAAATCCTCCAGTTTCCGTCTCCACCTCCTCCGCCGACTCAAGTCCCTCGGAGTTCCTGCACCCGAGCTCCTCGAGTGTTTACACAACATTCATACTTCCCAAGCTCACCTATGCCTCCCCCACCTGGTCTTCCTCCCTAAATGCCACACAACGTAAACACCTAGAAAAAGTGCAAAAGAGGGCATGCAAGATTATTCTCTCCCTTCCTACTCCACATATCAAGAAGCGCTCAACACACTGACCCTTTCGACTCTACTGACCATCACCACGACCTCATCTGCAAATTTGGTAGAAGCTTCTACACCATCCTCGACACCGGCTCCTACTACCACCTGAGATCCCTAGCCCGAGAATTGCTGTTCGACACCACAACCGCATCCAGCCCATACGTGCACGAACTGATCGCTATAAGAACAGCCCAGTCCCAACCATTGTAAAATTATCAATAACTTGTAATAAACCAGTGTATTCACTCCCAGTAAATACTACTCCTTGCACTGTCACTATGTGAAATGAACTGTAGTTTGAGCTTTTCCCCATCTAGTTATTATATATCTTATTTGTATCACTTATGTTACTTGTATATTATTTGTAATTCGAAACCCATTCCCCAAATATGTAACTGTATATTTTCAGCCTTCTGGCTGCCAAGCTCTTTCAATAAACCGTTAATTATTATTATTATTATTATTATTATTATAACAATTGTAACAACAGTGTCGAATCTAGGCTTCTCCTTGATGAGAGAATGCTGTTGACGTAATGTATTTCGGTGTTTTAACAACAAAGATTATATTATAATTACTACATGCAATAGTCATCAACAATTAAAAATCAAAAGCTACATACAGCGTCTCTGGTGTGTGTGTGGGGGGGGGGGGGCTAACGCATCCTAAAAAGATGTGGTCCCCTAAAAAATGCTAAAAACCGCTTCCACGTATCATTTTATACTTCCACGCTTTCCGAGGCAAAGTGGATCGGTGACAGAGAGGTAGGGGTAGTCTTCTGTATGGTTATTTACAGTATACAGTACACATGTTCTTCACACCCGGCTGTGGCTGTCTAGCATAACTAAACTGAGAGCCGGTCCTGCGAGTCACAGCAGCCCAAAGCAATTGTATCCCTGCTGACCGAACCTTGTTTATCTTATTAATCTATACTGCATACCAAACGATAATTGAACTTCATCTTACTCAAAAGAATCACCTTTTTTCATTAGCTCCACTCTTATATTAAGTCCAGCTAATGAAATAACAAACGTATTACCTGACATATAATCATATTACCTTTGAGCTAAAGACGACTACATTTTAAGTGTGTTTAGGCCCGAATTCACAAAGATTCGCACGATGAATAGGTTCGTAAATAACGATTAAAGTATGCACCTAATTGTTCATACGAGTAAAAGCACAATTTTTCTTTTATATAATATAGCATCAAAGTTATTCAGAAACTCTACCTTAAGTAAATATACTATACGTTCACTTTGCGAGATAAAACTAATGTGCAGAATCTTTCTCTAGAACTTCACTCCAGCTTAGGTTTATATTCGTCTATTCTGAAAAAAGCCACCAACCAGGCTTTTTTGCAGAGCTTCAGAATATAAGACAAATATTGGAAATAGCAATGAAATATTCGAGCGACTCACCTTATATCTCGAGTGTAGGTATGATGACGCCTGACCCTCACACTCCACCGGCCAAGTCTAGCTGCAGAATGATGCTCACGTACCCACTGTGCTCTGAGGGGCACTCAAGGCTCAGCTCCCCACTAGACGGACGGTTTCTGCTCACTGGCAACTTTGTGTAAAAAGTTCTTACTTCCCACGCGTATATTGTGACAAATGACACGAGGAAATAATATATATTGTAAAAAACTGAAATAGGGGGCAATGGCATTAATGTTTGCTGCTAAACATGATCTGGGCCTATACTTACTTAAAAATTAACAGTTTTCATCTTCAAAGACCTTCCTTATATGGCCCGAAATCTTGCCCTTGATCATGTATAACGTGTGGCAGATGTACGATGGTATTTGTTACTATGGGGTTTAAACTTGTAAATGAATCGAGGAGGTGTGGTAAATAGACCATGAAGGTCGAAGGAACTTATATGTATACCACAATTAAATAAATCAAGTAGGTTTACTACTTTAAAAACATTTACATGTGGTTTATAGGTAAACAATTTATGTCAGACAACAACTTGTGCATTGAAATTTCCACTCGAATAACCTCACTCTTGGCAGGAGTCCATCAGCCGAGTTCACCGAGAAGATATTTGACTGTATCTATGTCAGGATCATCTTCTGAACTTCATTGTCAGATTATTTTGTAATCTATTAATTTTTCAAAAGATTTAATGTTGGTTATGGAAAATGATTAAAGCTTACTACAGTATATACTGTCAGTACATAACTAAACACGTTCAGACTCGACTTGTCTCACTCTATACAGTAGAGACTGATAGATAACATTTGTTTTAAATGTTATAACTTCATGGATATTAATTGCGTGGAAAAATGTGCTTTATTGCATTTAAGATTTTACATGCCATTTTAATGTCGCTAAAATATACCTAAATTATATAAGGTTAAGTTAACAATGATGTAATTAATTTACGTTGTATCTACAGTACATTATAGTTCGTGTACATACCAGTTTGAATTTTCGAAATAAAAATAAATATGTAGAAAGTGTTTCTATTTCGCAGTTGACGGACACACAAACAGTACAGGTTAAAAAAGAAAAAAAATCCAACGTAAAATCTTCTGATCATCAGTTGAAATTCTGTTCTTGGGGGCTACTATTTAAGAAATCCGATATTTCCTAATGCTAAAAATTCTGTTATTATCAATATCATTATTATTGTTGTAATTATTACTCTGTTCTCTTTGTCACTTGTCAACAGGCTAGCCTGTTGCGCTCTAGTGGCAAGTACTGGGTTTATACAGCACGGGCTCCTGAAGTACTTAATAATGTCACAGTGTTTGTCAGACTTGAAATTATATGAGCTCACACTTGGAGCAAGCTTTTATACGAGATTCACAACTCGTTCCAAAGAAATTAGTTGATAATTTTCTGCACTGATACAGTACTTTCTTTGACTCGAGACTGTGACCTCTAGTAGTTTCCTTTGAAGTACTTATACACTTCTACAAGTATTAAATTATCCACTTTTCTTCTGAAGTATAAACTAGACAATTGTGAACGTTGTAGTCTGTCTCAGCAGGTGAGGTGCTGGAGTGCCGTGTTAGGGCAATTTGGTAGACCTCTGGCCGTCTCAATTAACAACTCTATTGTCCATATTTCTTTTATTCTAAAATCGCCTTTATATCATAACGAGCTAATTAAAACCCCAATTTTACAGTTGTGAGCAATCACACCTGAAAATGTTTAGTGGTTGCCTATCTGAAGAGTGTCAAGTGACGGCATTATGTGAAATGCTATTTAAATCTGCGTTAAATATTTTGGTATAACTGGATGGAGGTGTGCCTACTTAATTTTATTTTTTATTATAAATACAATATTTTTTTTTGGAGTGAAAAATATGAAACCTTATATTTTATTTAAAATACACTTTTTATTGTCCAAATTTGGAGCTTGGGAAAAGTTTCACTAATAAAGAAGAAAGCATAAAATTTCATTAATATAAATTTTGTCAAGAGGGCTGAAAATATAAGTACCATTTTTACTTAAAAATTCGAGTTATAACTTATTGCTAAACTCTCCCCTCAAGGGTGAAGCGCGGTTACGTAAATAGAGGCCCATGGGAAACCCAGTGTGTGTATTCCCTTACAGAATCCCCAGCAGTTATGAACTGTCCCCTCACTGTACAGCGTCTTGCACAATAGAGGCGTCTGGCAACGGCATCAACGACAACGATTTCATTTTTCTTGGCAGTCGGTGTAACTTGCACAAAATAAAGTACCTCATCCAGGTTTTTAACACCACAGACATCACATCTTTAAAGCAAATATGGTATTCATTCTTAGATTTTAGAAATGCGATTAATTTTGCAGTAATCTTAAAGACACGAAGATGAACGCCACACAGAGGGGAGTTTCCAACGCGACAAGGTCAGCTGACGTTGGGAGTTTCCAACGGTTGACAACACGGTCAGCTGCCGTTCTGAGAGACATCAGAGGGAGAAAGTATTTTAACATTTGACGATACAATACAACGTATTTTGTTTACCAAAGCTAATACATGCGACGGATTTGCATATTTTTTCGACTGAGGTCACCTCACAATATTGCCACCATTTTCCCTCTTCTCACGTGCGCACACACACCTTCCCTATCCCATTTTTGTTGTTGTTCAACAGTCTCTACTTGAATTTTATATATTTTCACTTCTATTCCACTGTACCTCTTGTGCACCCACTCACCTTCCTCATTCATTGCACTTTACTGAGCTGCTGCCAACACTTTTCTTACAGACAGCACATGGCCATTTTCCACTCTCCACCATAGATCCTTCACCCCCACCCAAAATCAACACTATTGTTTTCGCCACATTCACCCTCACGAGGCCCTTTAACTATTCCATCCTCCAATTCTTCAATTTCTTCACTGTCTTTTCAGTACTACCTGCTATCAGCACAAAGCCAAACATACAACAACTCTCATGGCAGACCCATCCTATAGTCCCGTGATATTGCCAACAGCACCAGGAAAAACATAAGGGGGCTCAAGACAGACCCCTGCTTTCACCTCAGATTCCTCACCATTATCACATAGAGGCTTTTGAGCCCTCATATACTCACGTCATAACCACTCGAACAGGCATTCCTCGACTCCAACATTTATCACTGCCTACTTTACTACTTCAAGCGGTACCCTAGAGATTTCTCTTGTACCTGTAGCTACCCGGCCATAAATATTGTCTCTGTGGTCCCCCCTACCTGACATACATCCAAACTTATCAATTTCTCAATTATTCTTTCTACAACTTTCATAAACTGATCTAGCAACATCAGGCCTCCATGGTTCTCACTTTTAGGTGCATCCTCTTTACCCTTGTACGGTAAGTATTCACGATCACTCTTCCACCAGTCATCTGGAACAGTGCATTCCATTATGATTGCATTGCTGATGCTTTCGGCATTTCTGCAACTATTCCAGAGCTTCCAGCTGCCTTTCCAGTCTTCATTTTGTCAACTGATCTCTTCACTCATACTCTTTCAATCCTTGGGCATAATCCCTGTACTGGCTCTACTACCTGGCCTTTGTACCATTTGTATTTCTCATTCAGTAGTCGATTATAAAATTTTCTTGAGGCATTCTTGATTTCCTGCTGATATACTACACTGTTTATTTCTAGCATATACAGTACTGTATATTCCTTAAGTTTAAATAGTATTTCAGTTTCTCAATTGATTTATCTTTAACAGTACTTGTACTTTTATCCTCTTCGCCACTGATCGTCTCGTGTGTAAAGCCCCGCCCACACGATCGAGCAGTGCCGGGCGGGCTTTGCCCGGAACGGGCAAAGCCTGTGTGTTGTTGTACACACGGGGGTGGTTGGCGGCAGTCATAGTCGGGCGCCGGTAGCTAGTAGGTGGTCGGCAGTGGCGGGTGCAGTACGATCACCATGGTGTGTCGCAGGAATAATCACCGGACAGTTAAAGCGAATAGCGTTGTGTACTATAATAATTGCTGCTATGTGCAAAGAGAAGAACCAAATGCAGAAAAGGGAATGGTGCAAAGAGTGGTTAGGTCGAAGAAAAGTATTGGGAAGTCATGCCACTATTTTACGTGAACTGCAAGATGGACATGAGCAAGACTTCACCAATTACATGAGAATGGACCCCAACACCTTTTACAAACTTCTAGCGAAAGTGGAACCAAATATAAAAAAACAGGATACCAATATGAGGGAGAGTATATCTGCAGAGGCTCGTCTAGAGGCAACACTCATATATCTTTCAACTGGGTGCACCTACACGTCACTTCAGTATAGAACGAGGATATCAAAACAAAGTTTGTCTCGCATAATACCTGCAACTTGTCAAGCCATGTATGAAGTACTCAAGGAAGATTACTTGCAGGTGAGATTTGTAGTACATAAAAATTCATTGAATAATGTTAGAATTATGATATGCATAGACAGGAAGCTATGGGACTAGAGTGAGGAGAGCGGCAGGAACGAAGAACACACACGAATGTCCTCATTACATAATACATAAACAATCTCCCGTTTATTGTCACGCCAATAATGTACATTGCATAAGCTTATTTGGTTATACACTGGACATCTGGACCGAGCGGGGAACATATACGTATCACATTTGCAGTACTTAACTCGGGTTTTACAAAGTACTAGCTTACGTTCTGTCAGTATCTCTGTTCATACCTCACCGACTTGAGGACCCCGACCCACGAGGTCAGCGGTGGCGTAGTGATCAGCTGTTTTTGACAGTCACGTGAGGTTCCAATAATAACACGTGTCTTGTATTGCAGGCTTGTGTAATGTTGGATATTAATGACAATATTATAGGAATGTCGGTTTTCCGGTTTTATCGTTTGTCTGGCAGAGTCGTCGCTCCATATCCGGCAGTAAACCACCAGGCAGGCGGACCATGATTTCGCTCAACGACGGGCACGGGCAATCCGCTGGTTTGCCCGCCAATTTTGCCCGATAACGGGCATTTAGCGCGTGCCCGCCGGGCACTGCTCGATCGTGTGGACGGGCCTTAACATGTTACACAGCACTGGGCAAGTACTGGCTTCAAAATGTATCGGTACCTGCGCCAATGTTGGTCAAGTCTGGTCTGGAATGAGCTCACACCAATATTCTGCAACA